ACAGATAGTGATTGCTCTTAAGAGATAACTACTTACTTGGAGCATATCTGTGATGCTGATTTGGATTAGCCAATCAACTTAAGTAGAAAACCGGGGAACCCGGGGCAAACCCACATGAGTCCTGGGAGAACGTGTAAACTCCGCACAGAAATGATGACTGGCTTGGTAAGGACTAGAACTAGTGACGTTCTTGTTGTGAGACAACAGTGCTAACTACTGGGCCATCGTGCCACCCATCTCGGTAAGGAGGAGGAGGGGTGGAAGGGAGGATTCTTCAAAACGAAGATGGCTGTCATATGGAACTTAGGGTGTTTATAGTGGCTTAGGAATTGTCTGATTGGTGAATCATAAATTGAATAATGCGGGGCTGGCTGCAAGCAATCATAAGCACTTGATCCTCTCGAAATTAGTTTAGAGGTAAACTTCACTTAGTGGAAGGAGAGACAAAATACATATATATAGGGTTAAAAAAATCCAGTATTGGCATTGACAAACTGTACTCATTTTAGCCTAATGCATCTTTCTCTATTTGACACAAATGAACCCTTAGAAAAAATCGGAAATAAAACATCCGTAGTAAACAACCCAAATATTATGACACCACTGTATTAATTTGTCATTCATCCATTCCCATGGCTAGTATAGTAGCCAGTAGCATAATTAAATAATAAGAGGGTGTACAGTTAATCACAATGCAAACATCTTTCACAACACTTTGCTTGCGTGTTTGTTGTTTTCCCTGCGCAAATCTTTTATCTAAGATGCAGACGGAGATAAATCAACTCAAACAACAAGACATCCTTATATCAGTTAATTTGGCCTGGGAATGTTGGCAGAGGCATTAGCGGAGAGGAACGGGATGACTCAGTGTATCACACTGATGGAAAATATGTCTCCTTTACAAACAAGTCGGAGCATTGTGCTGTAGAAAAAGAGTGTGCTTGGGAACGAGGGGCTTTGCAGGATGGAATGCTGGGAATTAGGGTCGGGCAGGAGGGTGGGTGGGAGACAGGTCGGAAGGGAAGGGAAGGGCGATGAAAGAATGGAAGAACAACAGAAGAAAGAAAACATCAACTCTGTTGAGGAACATAGGAGAAACAGCTCTGGCTGTGCATTGTGAGTTGTGTATGATTTCCATGTGCAGACCTGTTACAGTTCATTTGCTAAATGTATTAAAATAGCTCCTTAGCATCATCTGCTCATGCTTGTTTGAGATGGCAAAAGTAAACTCATCCTTTACTCAAGGAGAAGATACTCAAGTACTCAAAACAACTCTGGTAAAAGTACTGACTACACTTTTGTACTCAAGTAAAAGTAAAGAAGTGCAGCCTGAAATATGTACTTAAGTGAAAAGTATATCCATTACTACTTACCGTTTTAGTTTCACGCCAGCAACTAGACCTCACATTATATCAATACATTTATACAAAATAACTTGCATTACTGATTTTGATGTAAAAATTGTTGCTAATTTTCAATAGGAAAGTAGCCAAGCAACATCTGCAATAATGCAAAATAACACTGCTCAAAAATCTGTGATATTTAAATGTGATATAAAATATAAAACAAACTTTTTGGATATCTTAATTGTTTTAAGTGTAATTCCACTTCAGTTTGTAAACACTAACAAGTTACAGTAACTTAATTCCTTCATATTGTCCCAACACAAATCGTTTGTGTGGAGCCCAGCTTTTTTTTACAGTGTAATGTATGCTTTTAGGCTACAGTAATCATTTCAGGCTTGCTTTCAATAGGCTTCGGTCTTGAACACTTTGATAAGTTCACTTTAAAACCCAATAAGTTAAGGTCACTCAAACCGTTTGAGGAAACCGATTGCAACAAACCATTTAAAAACTAATCCTTATGAATACTGTGAACTTAATCCATTTGAGTAAACGAAGCAATTTGAGCACAGCAAAACCCAATAAATGAAGAGAACTTTTTACGGCCTGAAATATGTTCTTAAGTAAAAAGTATCCACTACTACTTACAATTTTAGTTTCACACTGGCAACTATACCTCACATTATATATATATACAAAATAACTTACATTACTGAAATTGTTGCTAACTTTCAATTAGAAAGTAGCTAAGCAGCATCACACTCTGCAATATTGCAAAACAACACTGCTAAAAAATCTGTGTATCATCACCCTGACACAAACTCACAGCGTTCAGCATGTAGTTTAGCTGTTTTTAAATTAAGAACAGTAACCGTAATTAGTCCATTCATATATTAAAAAAAAATGGAGGCTTATATCTTTTCAAATAATAAACGTCTTTAAATAACACTTAATTTTGTCCAAAACATTAGTTTTTTGACTATAATAATTACTTAATTTGACTATTTTGGCCGTTCGGCTAGAGCTGCTTCTGTGTCTTCAAAACTAAAATCAAAATATCCCATGTTTTCAGCGTTCAGTGTTTCACACCAGCTCAGATTGCTGACTAATTTCATTGGCTGACGCTGCTATGACGATCGCGTCAGCCCCAAGCCCTCTGTCAAGCATTAATGCTGAAGCCCTGTGTGAATCAGGCGTAAGGGTGCATGTTAGAACTTAAATGCACTAATATTAAGGGTTGCAAAAGTTATCTCTGTAAATGACCTTTTAATTCCTATCTACTTGTTAGTAAAGTGTTTACTGACCCTACGAACATAATTAAATCATTCCAGTAGCCCGAGTGAAATAAAATTCTCTCTCTAATAATGTTCTTGTTATGTTTCAGCGTGTGGGTGGGTGTGCTTTTGTGAATGTGTGTAAGGTCACCATCAATGTTAGTACGGATGCTGAACAATAGGGCCATTAAACGGGATAAATAAAGACAGGACATTGATTGTTTGGCAGTACATGGTTTGGGGATCCATTACGCAGTTTTGGCTAAGGCAGCTTATTAATTTCTCATTTCCTTAGAGAGATGTGCAAACATGGGCAAAATAGATTGCGCTCTCAACAGAAAGACTTTGAAAACTCTCCACCACAATGCAACTGCTAATATATAGGGGAGGGTGTAGCTAAGATGTAGTTAGAGTGTTTTCATTCATTCATTTTCTTTTCGGCTTGGTCCCTTTATTAATCCGGGGTCGCCACAGCTAAATGAACCATCTAGAGTGTTTTGGGTTATGACCCAATCAAAAGATGAACAAACTCGAATACTCTTTAATTCATTCATTAATTTTCCTTCAGCTTAGTCCCTTTATTCCTCAGGGGTCGCCACAACTTGTCCAGCATATGTTTTACACAACGAATACTCTTCCAGTTGCAACCCTGTACTGGGAAACATCCATACACACTCATTCACACACACGTCTTTGGACTGTGGGGGAAACTGGAGCATGCGGAGGAAACCCATGCCTACACGGGGACAGCATGCAAACTTCACACAGAAATATCAACTGACCCAGCCGGGAGTCGAAATTGTGACCTTCTTGCTAGCACTTGACAGTGCTAACTGTGTCATCTACTTTTTAATTTTTAATGTAATATATATATATATATATATATATATATATATATATATATATATATTTGCCTTTATTAGACAGGAAGCAAAGTTGGAGAGAGAGAAGGGGGTAGGGTAGGGAAATGTCCTCAAGCTGGGATTCAAACATGTGACGCCCTGACGTGCTATTGCACCATATGTCGACGCGCTAACCACTAGGCTATTTCGCAGACTTAATGTAATATTTTAAGAAAGAACTAAAGTTGGGTTTCCCAGTGCTAGGTTGCAGCTGGAATGGCGTCCGCTGCGTAAAACATGTGCTGGATAAGTCGGCGGTTCATTCCGCTGAGGAAACCCCTGATTAATAAACCCTGCAGTCACTGGATGTCAACATGACATCATATCGATGTTGTACCCCAAAGTACCCAAAAAACGTAGGGACGTTGGATTTTGGTTTGAAATGGAAATCGAGTTGACGTCAGAACCCGACGTCAGGTTGACGTCAATGTCCAACATCCAACCTAAAATAAAACCAAATATTAACGTTTAATCATGTTACACATTGACATTGTGTGGAAGTTACCACTATGGCATCTATCAGGCGTTGGATTTTGGTTACTTTCCAACACAGCCTAAAATCCACCAAATATCAACGTCATTTGACGGCGTTATTGGATGCCAAAATATCGTTGTTTTTAGACGCAATTTTAGAACAATAGATCCATTTTTTTGCGACCCCTGGGGTGATTGTTATATTAAAGACACAGCAACAGTGTCAGATGCCGCAGATAGATTTAATGACACCAGGTTAAACTTTCTGACACCTTTACGGCACTCATGTACATTAAAAATAAATACAGGCCACAACTAAACATGAAGGATGGTCTCCGAGTGGCGCTCTCCAAAATTAAACGATGAATAGTCTTGGACCTATTGGTATGTGTGTGTACATTGTGTGCAAGGATTAGATATCTATAACCACCTCAGTGAATATTGGGGGTCGTGAGTGACTTGAAAAGTTTGGCAACCCCTGAGTTAGAAGACTCTTGGCAACCCATGATAAATAAATGACTAAGATGAGGGGAAAGTGAGTGATGACCATCTGAGGTATCAATATGGATCTTTTATCTACAAATGTGTGCATTTTGAAAATAACGTCAACTTGCTCTACTAACCCTACAACTAAATAATCTATCAATAATCTAGTTGGAATTTGTTACATGTAGTGAGAAAGTTTCTTACGAAAGAAGTTAGTACAGTGGACTTTAAAAATAAAGTGTAAACTCTAGCGAAGTTACTGTTGTGTTGTGTACCTTGCTTTATCGCAGGGGTGCTCAATCCTGTTCCTGGAGATCTACCTGCCTGTGTTTAGCTCCTACCCTGATCAAACCCACCTGAACCAATTAATTAGGACCTGAAATCCACTTGATAATTACAGACAGGTGTGTTTGATAAGGGTTGCAACTGAAATCTGCAGGAAGGTAGATCTCCAGGAACAGGATTGGCCACCCCTGCTTTATCGCAATAACTTACATGATTATTTTGATTTTCGTTTGCAGGATGAAGTAAAAGTGGGTTCGAAAGTGAATGTGGCCAAGTCTATGAAGTATCCAGAGCCTGTGGAAGGGGAAGCTGAGGGTGAACTCAAAGCTGCAGCAGAAGAAGGAGGAGAGGACAAAGAGAAAGTTAATCTGGACCTGTCCTCTGATGAAGAGGAGGTGGAGATTGAGGAGACAATTGAGGAGTCTCGAGCAGAACGCATCAAGCGGAGCAGCCTGCAACGTGTCCAGAACATCAAAACCGTTTTCTCCAAGGGGAATATGGAGAAAACCAAACAGAAGACCAAGGAGAACTTGGAGAAGACCAAACAGAAGACCAAAGAGAACCTGGAGAAAACTCGCATGAGGACCAAAGAGAACTTGGAAAAAACAAGACAGAAGACTAAGGAAAACCTTGAAAAGACCAAACAGAAGACCCGAGAGAACCTGGAGAAAACACGTCACAACATAGAAAAGAAAATGGGTAAACTTGGCACCCGCATGTCCGTGAACCCCGAGCGCAAAGAGAAGATGAAGACTTCACAGAAGAAGGTGATGAAGTCTTTTACTCCTGACCACACCATCTACGCCCGCTCCAAAACGGCCGTCTACAAGGTTCCACCGTTCACCTTCCATGTGAAGAAGATCCGTGAGGGAGAAGTGGAGATTCAGGGAACTGAGATGGTGGAAGTTGTCGGCGACACAGAGGAGGTGGAGAACGCAGTGATGGAGGGAGAGGAAGATGCAGAGATGGAGATGGAAGCTGGAGAGATGGTGGAGGAAGACGAGGACGAGACAGAAGACAGCCCTGAGATGAGAGCGCTGCTGGAGAAAGGAGACGAGCTGGTGCTGGTGGAAGATCATGACAGAGACAGCGATTAGTGTTAGTGTGCATGTTTGTATGTGTGTGTTCAGGGGTACTTACACATTAGAGAAGCTGTAACAGAATATTTGGTGGCTAGGAATTATTCTGACCATGCAAAAGGAGCAAAACTTATTGCTGAAATCTCTGAACTGATGCCTGAAGAACTTTTGGTTCCTCAAAATAACATCAGCTTCTCCAAACCCTATTTGTTTGCTCTAGGTTTCCACAGAGTCCCATCCCCATTACAGTATTTGCAGTGTTCTTTGACAGAGTTTAATCTCTAGTGTGTAGGTGCCCTGGGCAGGTATGCTGTAATGCTAGTCCAGATGTCGAGATCATGAATGTGTCTGTTTGCATGTGTGTATTTGCATCTTTTCTAGCAGCAATTTGTTTCAAAATGAGTGTGTGTGAGTGAGAGATTTACTGTACTAGTCCAAGTAACATAGTTCCTTGAATTCACCTTCTTTGGTAAGGGTATGGGGACTAGGCGTGCTGACCAATAAGAATACCATGTGTATTTGGGAATATTTTCATGCTAGTTTGGCATAATGAACAGACAATAGCAATATTACGAAACCGATTACAAACACATGGCTTGATCAAATAAACAACAGACTTGTTGGACATGTAGTTTCCTTGTACTAGAAGAATACGTGGTCACACTTTATTTTAGTCCAACTGTGGATTTACGATGTAACCAGTTTCGGTTGTTCCGGAAAGTTCCCATATTTACTAATTATGGTTATTCAACCCACCAGTCCTACTGCACCCAGCCCACGCTGAGCTGGGATTGAACCAGAGATTCTTTGCACGGGAGTCGGTTGCTATAACAAGCGTCTAGTGTCTCTCACTAGAGCACCTCTTGAGGTCAGAGAAGTGAGGTTTACCTGCATAGCACTGCGCTAGCTGGACTCCGCTACAGTTAGGCTTAAAATCATAGTTCATCCAAAAATGAAAATGTACTCACTATTTACTTAAGTGTTTTCCGAACCCTTATGAGTTTCTTTCTTCTGTTCATCTCAAAAGAATACATTTAGATGAAAATTTTAAACCCTTGGCATCCATAATAAGTTAATGGTTGCCTTTTGTGAGAACATATCATGCGAATATCTTTTTTTGTGTTCACCCATAGATATATACACTAGATATCACATACGGACCCTGAGCATACGTCAATAGCGCCGCCACATTTGCACATCGCTCCCAGGACCAATGTCATTCCACAGCACTAGTGAAGACTTAAGCCAATGTGAAGATGCTGGACTTTAGCGATGCCTACGGGTGTAGTAATGAGCAAACAAAGAAAACAAAGCACAAAGGCAGAACATTTCATAAGTAAGATTTAGTTTTTTTATGATTTCGTATGTCACGAACTTTTGTGCTAAACAAGTATTGATGATACTATATTCTCTGTAACGCCCGATTCACACAAGGCTTCACCGTCAATGCTTGATAGAGGGCATGTCTGATGTTGGGGCTGACAGGATCGTCATAGCAGCGTCAGCCAATGAAATTAGTCAGCAATAGGCCACTGTCTGAGCTGGTGTATTTGCATACAGCGATCTGATTGGCTGACGTTAAAAACGTCTGATTGGCTGTGGTTAAAAAGTTGAGAAAGTCCCAGCTTCTGCAGCGAGCAACGCCACTTAAGCGGTGCTGACGGATCCACAATGCAGTTTGACAATGCCTGGCATCACCCATTTAAAGTGAATGGGAAGAGTTAATGCTAATGCCTCATGTGAATGGGGCGTAAGGCAAAATAGCACCAACTTGCACTACATACTAGGCTTAGGCTAGTTTGCTTGAATAAAATAAGCCAACAATGTTAATGAAATCTAATAACAAGATGCTGCGGTGCTAGAAACTTGTTTTGTTTTTGGCTAAGTGAATGAGTCGTTCATAACGGAGATTCTTCACAAACGAATCGCTCCCTCCGTTAGATTTAGAAGTGAAAGCAAGAGAGGGGGTGTGTTTCAGTACATGGATTAGATCAAATTGACAGGGAGGGAGAATAATACATTTGCATAAACAAAAACACACGCTCTTTGTCGGCAATGCGCGATCATAGATACATGTATATATGTATATATATCCCTGGCTCTGGATGACCAGTCTTCCGCTACACCTTGGTCCCACATTCATTTCAAAGGTGCGCTACCATGTACTAAAATGGCAACTTTATTGACACATTCCTTCCAATAGGCAACAAATAGCACAGGTGACATCTAATGTAAATATCTATGGTGTTCACCAAATGGGTTTGTGACAGTTAAATGGCAAGTGAATGTTTTGGTGAACTGTCCCTTAAAGATTATTGGGTTGGGACTGAAGTTAACAATGAAATGACCATGTTAATGAAATTCATGCCTAAATGTAATTATTACATGTAGAGACATGTATGTACATGATATGTACGCTGTATCAGTTGATTAAGTACATGCAAGGCCACCTAAATTAAAGTGTGACTGATTGTTTCCTTCCTGTATTAGCTAATGATAATGTAAAGTTGCTGTTCTTCACTTTTCATCTACGGAGGAACAAACCAAAAAAACCTGAAGTATTGCTTCTAAGTGCTCGTTTTTATATATATTTTATATATCTTGGAGTTTAATGTTACATTTCCTTAAAACAGGCTGTCGTAATCAAACTGTTACACTGATTGTTTTGCTCTCAATGTGATGAATTGTTCTGCATGAGGTTTACAGAAAAATGTCGAAATATACGGATTATAGAAGAAGTTTAATGCTCTACATGAAATCATTTGCAGAATAGCGCTCCAGGCTTGCTCAACAACGGCAGCAGTGCTCTTTTTACCCATTTAAAACTACTGTTTGTGTAAGATTTGTACGTCCCCTGGTGGACATGTGTTGTAATGTTGTAAAAAGGCCACCGAGGCATCTGACGTCATCAGCACTCGCTCATATGATTTTGAATCACTGCTATTACTGAGAGCACAATCCTGTCTCTGTTGTGTTACTTTTATCCTTCTCGTTGTTTAGGTTGTATCATTGTCAGTAGTTGCGTAATTTTGCAAAACTTCTTTTTTTTTTTTTTTTGCTTGTTTAGCTGATGATGCTTATCTTGTAATGTCACGTTTTAACCACTAATGTGTTAATAAAAACATTCATGCTTCACACTTTGAGTAAATGTCCAAAAACATAGAACTGTTATATATTTTCACATTTTTGAAGAAGCTTCAAATACACACACACACACACACACACACACACACACACACACATATATATATATATATATATATATATATACACTCTCTACTGATCAAAAGTTTGGGCTCAGTTTTTTTCTCACGTTTTTTTTTTTTTTTTAACTGTATGTACTTTTAAATTGATATATTACTTAATAATAATATATCATTATTACCATTGAAAATGATAATAACAATAATTATTCATTCATTCATTTTCTTGTCTGCTTAGTCCCTTTATTAATCTGGGGTTGCCACAGCGGAATGAACCACCAACTTATCCAGCAAGTTTTTACGCAGTGGATGCCCTTCCAACCGCAACCCATCTCTGGGTAAATCAAATCAGTAGGTATAGAAATATAATATAAATTGATAACTTAAAGCATTAATTCTTACAGTTTAAAACACCAAATATTATGTTCATACAGTAAAAAAAAAAAAAAAAAAAAAAAAAAAAAAAATATATATATATATATATATATATATAACTTTGGCATGATGCCTAACTCATATTTTCTATTATGAAGGCAATATCTAAGTACTAAAAAAAAAATGCAAAAAAATGTATGTATGTGCGATCACTTAAAATTGGTATTACATGTAATTGGCATGTTATGCAATTTAACTATGGCAAATATACATATATGTTTCAATATTGGTTTTCAATATATGTGACAAATATAAAACTGGCCGTTTTCCTATATTATATGTACATAAATGTTTATATGTTTCTGGTTGTAATAAACAGAATGAGCAAGTGCCATTTGTGCCTTCAATAAATCTAGTTAAAATGTTTAGCAACTATGGTTACATTAGTCTGAATGAGAGAGTGCACAGTATGGCTGTTGCACCATGAGGGCTTGTACGGCTGGGCTGAAACAGGAAAGGCAGCTGTGGGTACAGTCAGGAAGAGTATTAATTTTTTTTTTACTCTGTTCCTCAAATATATCACTCTTTTCTTTTATTTTACAGAAAAATTCATTTTCTTCTTATTTTACATCATCACAAAATAACTCCTTATGTACTTTCTGTCAAACTGAAACAATAAACCACACAAATACCTCCAGAAACACGGTTTATTGCCTTACCTCAGATATGACACGTGTAATAACAATGAGGAAAAAAATAAATATAGAAACAAACAGAAAAACAGATCAAATAAAGTTGCTATCTAAAATCCAGCATATAATACAAATATTTTAAACAAAGATTATTATAAACAAACTGATATATAATATTTTTACTACCACAAATTTTATAAAAACCTAAAAAAAATCTTAATAAAACTTTTTATTCCAAAAACTCAAAACATGACACACATCCATTTAAACATTGTAACAGCATTATGTGTGGCTCATTCATTGTTGCATAAAGGCTGAATAAATTCCACAACGACTAGATCAAATAACTATTCGGAAACACTGTTATTTGTGACTGTGGGTCTCTGCTTCATCATATCTGGGTTGCTGTCAACCATTGTGCTGTATTTATCTAACATCCGACCCTAGTTATCATTCTCTGATGTGACATGTTCACAGAGTGGGTGGGGAGAACCAGCTCATTTGCATTTAAAGGCACAGGTGCAAAACAGTTACAATTCCATCTGAGCCAAAAACTAAAATATTCAACAGGGTAAATTGAATGATCTGATGGGTAATTAGATATGAACTTTAAAAGACACATTCTGTGTTGAGACACAAAAACGTATTTTCTTGTAAAAATATATCTTGTAAAAATACCAAAATAGGAGCCCTTTAAATGCACATATTAGGACTGTTTAGGTCAGGCATGTCCAAACTCAGTCCTTGAGGGCCAGTGTCCTGCAAAGTTTAGTTCCAACCAAAATCAGACACACCTGGGCTAGCTATTCAAGCTCTTACTAGGTTTTCTAGAAACATCCTTACAGTTGTGTTGAGGCAAGTTGGAGCTAAAATCTGCAGGAAACTGGCCCTCCAGGACTGAGTTTGGACACCACTGGTTTAGGTACTATTAAATATCTTTGAGGTATCAATATGACCTTGTTTAGGTACAAATGTGTGCCTTTTGAAAGAGTTACAGCTCCACCCCAGTTACAGCTTTGGGTACATATAAAAGTACTATTTATATTTTCACCTGAGCATAAATGCTCTCACATTGAACATTGATGGGTTGTGTGTTTTTGAGTAGCACATTCACTTGCGTATACACTACATCTGAACCCTTTTCCTGGTTATCTTCTGCTGAATCTTCCTCTGTGTTGTGGTCATTCTTACTAAAACTTTGAACATCAGAGATTGTATTGTCCTGCTTGGTCACAGTGAGAACTTCAGCATATGTGCAGTCAACAGTACCATTTTGAGCCTAAAAAGATGACAAACAAACAAAATATTTGGTGTAAGCTACCAGGATTAAAACAGGATCTTTCCCTTTTATAGGTTTGAACATTAATGGTATGAGAGTGAGGTGCCAGAAAAAAAATGTATCTTGGTTTGTCTACATGTTGGTAGTATTAAAAAAAAGTGTGCTGGCGGCACAGTGGCTCACAGCAAGAAGCTTACTATGTGCTATAGGTGAATTGGGTAAGCAAAACTGGCCGAAGTGTATGAGTGCATATGTGTGTGTGTGAATGTGAGAGTGTATCCCAGTAAAAAAGTATTTGTGGGACTTGTAAATAAAAATAGCATAATTCAAGTAAATTTTACAAATAAATCGTATTTTGTCTTTTTACTACAAAATTTCAATTTTAATTCAATAAGCTACTCAATATGTATTTTTAACTTATTGTGCTTAAAATACAATAGTGAATTCAAATGGATATGCCCAAGTAATATTTACTTTAACACTAAATTGTTTCGTAATATATTAAACTGTATGTATATGTATGTATATGTATATTGTATAATGTGATATTTACAAGATAAATTACATAAATTACATAATTTGTTTAATAATCAATTTGGTTTCATTTGCGGAAAGGTCTAGAGCTCCTGTTTGTAAGTTTGTGTTAAAAGAAGTTTTATTTGAGTGAGTTTGCTCTAGATCCGATTAGCATAAGCATATTAGCAAACGACATCTGTCTAAAACTACAGAGACCCGAAGGGAGCGTATTGATGGAGGAAAAAATGTGTGGGAGCAAAAAATAAAAAACAATGATAGGAAAAAAAAAAAATGTATATATATATATATATATATGCACACACACACACATATATATATATATATATATATATATACATACATACATATACTTATATATATATATATATACATATATACATACATACATATATATATATATATATATATATATATCCCTTGCAAAACTGTTGTTCCACAAACACTTCCTGTTCACTTCATACATGTCAACCCTTTCGTTTTTGCCAGGATTCTCCCGTAGACTATTTTACCATTTTATCCCGCTATCAGCCTATCAATAAATATTTTCCCATATTTTCACATATTGAAATTAATATAAAAGTGTCTGCAATCACTTTCCTTCCCTTAAAGCTGTGCGTCCATCTTTGCCCTTCAAATTAAAGTACTCAATGACAGTGTCCTGCAGTGTTTTTAATTAAAAAAAACGGTTGCAATGTATCACAATATTTTATTTAACATTTTGAAGAAAAAAGTTTACTCAGGATAACTAAAATAGATCACTTGGATTTAAAAAAAATCTAAAAATAGTAAATACTTAAATGTAAGACTTAAATAAATTTTACAAACAAAAAGTCAATAAAATTTACTTTGAATTTTCTAAGTACTTAAACATTTCTAATCACATGTACTAATAATTTTGGTTAATCTTTTACTTGGCAAAGCTTTGAAGATTTACTAGCCTTTCTGAGTGAAAAACATTTCCAAGCTTTCTTCAAGTAAACCCTACTCCTCATTTTTTTACTGCGTTGCAGCTGGAAGAGCATTCGCTTCGTAAAACATGCTAGAATAATATGTTAAATGTGCTTCATTGAGCCATGTGCTCTTTCATCTGTTTAATGACTCCATTCAACTTGGCGGGTGTGATTCTGCCAAGTACAATCCTAGATTAACATTGACGTTGATCCTGGAACATAAATTTTGTCCAAAAATTTGATCCATAATTTATTCATACCCCTAAACCCAAACCTAACTGTAAATTATTCCCAAAATCAAAGAGGAATAATAGTTGGATAACAGTCATGTAGAAGTACATAACCCTAACTGCAAGCCAAACTTAACATAAACGGTAAACGTCTTCATACCCATTTATTAGTTCACATCAAAAACATTCCAGTAAACATGTTTCTGCAGGGTTTGTTCTGGCTCTTAGTGTATAGATCTAATCTCTGAGATATGAATTTTAGTAGTCATGTCAAAGCACTAACTAAATCCGCATACTACCATCTTAAAAACATTGCAAGAATTACATGTTCTGTTTATAGTGAAGACTTCGAGAAACTTGTTCATGCTTTCATCAGCATCCGGGTGGATTACTGTAACGGCCTCCTCACAGGCCTTCCCAAAAAGACAGTCAGCCAGTTGCAGCTCATCTAGAATGCTGCTGCCACAATTCTGACCAAAACCAGAAAATCAGAGTACATCACATCTGTCCTCAGGTCTCTACACTGGCTCACAGTTACATTCAGAAAACATTTTAAAGTATTATTACTTGTCTATAAATCACTAAATGGCCACACTACATTACAGATATGCTCACTGAATACAAACCCAACAGATCACTCAGATCTTTAGGATAATACAAACTAGAAATTCCAAGAGTTCAGTCAAAGCTAGGTGAATCGGTCTTCAGCTGCTACGCCCCCTGCTGCTGGAATCAGCTTCCAGAATTGATCTGATGTGCTCCAACATTAGGCACATTCAAATCAAGACTGAAAACACGTCTGTTTAGCTGTGCCTTTACTGAATGAGCACTATGTCCGACAGTACATATCACACTATTGTGTCTTTTTTTTTCTTTTCCCTTCTTTTCTAATCTGTTTTAACACATTTAATCTGTTTTTTATTATTTGTTTTACGCCTGTTTCTTTTATTGCTGTTTATGTAAAGCACTTTGAAATGCCACTGTGTATAAAATGTGCCATATAAATAAACTTGCCTTGCCTAATTTAGCAAACATTAAATATGCCCAGTGGTATTTTTTAAATAGGAAGACTAAAAATATGGGAAACAATAGTGAACAATATGTAAATTGGGGTTATAGAATGGGAAAAATAGAATAATCAAGCAAAAAAATGTGAGGGTTGACAGGTATGATCCACATATAGCAGGTCTTTAAATTTAGAGAGCCAAGAATAGTGCACAAACCTGATTAAAGGAATCGTTTTCTACAGCACCATCTTCCCTGTTTGTCCTTTTCATGATCCTGTGAGAGGAAATAAAGAAACTTGACTTGACAAACTAGACAGGTATGTAACAAAAGCACAAATCTGAATACATGTTAAAAATGACTTGAACTGTAAAAGGCAACTAAAATTACCTGGTATAAAGACAAATAGCAGAGAGCATCAGCACTGCTACAATTCCTCCAACACAAGCTATAATCATAGGTATAGATCCTACGACATAAGAAAAGCTTTTAATTATTGTAAGTTGTAACTGATTTTTGTTTATTTGATTCTGTAAATGGCCCTGATCTTTATTAGACTATGTTAAACCCACCTCCAACTGTGAGCTGGATCTCTTCTGATGACTGATTGCCATGTTTATTCTGTATGGTGCAGGAATACCACCCTGTATTATTCTGAGTAAGAATGAAAGTAAAGTGTTTTCTCTGATAAACAGGTCTGTTCTCTCCACGTTTGTAAAAGGTGTAGGTCATATTTTTTGATTGACTGCCTTTGCCTCTGCAGGTCAAAGTCACATTAGTGCCAACAGAGAGTGAAGCTGATGGACTGATGGTGATGTGAGTTTCTTTTGGAGGAACTTAACAGAAATAAAAGCACAAGTTAAACTTAACATTAAAACTCGATCATAAATAATGACATTATCTGTTCATTTCAGACCAATGATTGTGAAAAACACAAAGTAGTTTTATCTCTTACACATGACGTGTAGCGTCACGTTGGTCTCCACAGTTGAGTTATCAAAAGTATTTCTTGTATAAGTAACAATGCAGGTGATGTTCCTGTTGTGATCTCTGTATGAAGCTTTGAAGGTCACATGTGAAATCACTGACTGGATTTTATTAGATTTTTCCAGTAAGTGTGTGGTAATGTTGGCAGATTTAGGGATGTTAGACCAGGTTATTGTAGGAGATTGTTTTAGGCAGGGGGCTTCAGCAGAGCAGTTCAGACTGACTGTATTTTCCTCCATCACACGTGGTTTCTTGGGTTTAAGTTCAGGTTGTTGTGGTGAATCTACAAATAAAAAAAGTGTAGTTCATTATTAAGAAAACTCATATTTTCTACACATCTTTAGATCTAGATCTTTAGATCTTTAGATATGTATAACAGTTTTTTTACAATGGCTATGACAGTTTCAATACATTTAACAAGTTTGATAAACTCTTAACGCAGCAACACACCTAAAACACACAATTGGCAAAACAGTTCATTTCATGCTCAAAATCACACATTGTAAACTACACATCTGAACTACTTTTCAAAATAAAATAATAAATGAACACACAACACTATGTCTAACAAAACTCTGCATGTTTCAAAACATGTTTCAAAATGAAATAATTATTCAAAACACAAACACATGTTCTCTTCCAACAGAAACATTCAGTCAATCAAAACACACTGACAATAAAAACACTATCATCAGTTGACATTACAGAAACTGCATTACTTACAGTTGAAGGCAGAATTATTAGCCCCCTGTATTATTAGCGCCCCTGTTTATTTTTTCCCCAATTTCTGTTTAATGGAGGGAAGATTGTTTTAGCACATTTCCAAGCATAATATTTTTAAAAACTTATTTCTAACAACAGATTTATTTTGTCTTTGTCATGATGACAGTAAATAATATTTTACTAGATATTTTTCAAGACACTTCTATACAGCTTACAGTGACATTTAAAGGCTTAACTAGGTTAATAAGGTGAACTAGGCAGGTTAGGGTAATTAGGCAAGTTATTGTATGATGATGGTTTGTTCTGTAGATTATCAAAAAAAAAAAAAATAGCTTAAAGGGGCTAATAATTTTGTCCCAAAAATGTTTTTTTTTTAAATTAATAACTACTTTTATTCTAGTCGAAATAAAACAAATAAGACTTTCTCCAGAAGAAAAATATTATCAGACATACTGTAAAAATGCCATTTTTCTGTTAAACATCATTTGGGAAATATTTAAAAAAGAAAATAAAAATCAAAAGGGGGCTAATAATTCTGACTTCAACTGTATGTGTCAGCTCTGCCCTTATATTTGAAGCCTCTCTACAGTTTTGTTTTGTTGGGTTTAGTCAATGCAGGTATTTTCTTTCTGTTACTGCAAAAATTCTATACAAAAATGAATAATAAAAAAAAAGCTTTATAAAATTTACAGTTGATGTAAAAATAAAAAAAATAAAAAAAACAGGCACAGAATTGCTGCAGTACAATCTTTATTTGCAAAAGGACATCACTGCAAGATATACACAAAGAAAAAGCACTGCAATTCTAATAAAAAAAACAAACAAACAAAAAACAAAGTAATCTTCTATTCTGCCTGGTCTTCTGCCATCTCATCCACATTGCACTTGATATCTTCTATGGCCCGGCACAGTAACTGTGGCTCTTTGGCCTATTATGTTTCTCCCACGGCGACATCCCCAGCCTCGTCAACATAGATAATTGGTACTTGATTGGCCTCCAACTTAATGACTCTCTGAAAGTAATTAGACACAGTGTATGCAAATGCTGTACTGTATATCTATTGTATGTACTAATAAACTCCAGGTTTATAGAGTAGTTTACTGCAAAACACACTGTGCATAGTACAGTATTGACTGTATTGCATAACCTTACCTGGACGTATTGGTGATGGAGTTGTTTGATGCGCTCACTGTTCCTTTCAAAAACCTCAAGAATCCTCTTTTAGAACAGATGATAATGTGATTGGAAAAACCTCAACCAATAAGTGTGGTTTCTAGATGGTAATCAGCTGTATTTGATATATATATATATATATATATATATATATAAAGTTGAAGTCAGAATTATTAGCTCCATTCAAATTTTCTTCTTCTTTTTAAAATATTTTCTAAATGATGTTTAACAGAGCTAGGACATTTTCACAGTATGTCTAATAATATTTTTTCTTCTGGAAAAAGTCGTATTTGTTTTATTTCAGCTCCAATAAAAGCAGTTTTTAATTTTTTTAACACTATTTTAGCCCCTTTAAGCTATATTTTTCCTCCATAATCTACAGAACAAACTTTTGTTATACAATAACTTGCCTAATTACTATAACCTGCCAAGTTAACCTAATTAACCTAGTTAAGCCTTTAAATGTCCCTTTAAGCTGTATAGAAGTGTCTTGAAAAATATCTAGTCAAATATTATTTACTGTCATCATGGCAAAGATAAAATAAATCAGTGAATAAAAATGAGTTATTAAAACTATTATGCTTAGAAAAGTGTTGAAAAAAATCTGCTCTCCATTAAACAGAAACTGGGGGAAAAGATAAACAAGCGGTCCAATAATTCAGGGGGGCTAATAATTCTGACTTCAACTGTGTATATATATATATATATATATATATATATATATATATATATATATATATATATATATATATATATATATATATATATATATATATAGATAGATAGAACCACAATATGCTGTTTCTCATTGCCAATGGAATAAAATACAGGGAATATATTTGTGTTTCAATTCACAATACATATGAGCAGCTGTTTACTTTTAGTTTATCCTATATAATTTCTGTTTAGAACATGCTGTTATCTGTTCTGACATATACTGTGTTAAAGCATTTGTAAAATTGACTGTAAAATGACGTTGTTTTGGTCTTGGTTGAGCTTGTGTGTAAAAGAAGTTCAAGCATTTTAAATTTGTGTTAACTGGATGCCTTTTGTGTCAAAGAAACAAGAAATGTGTTAATTCAATTGTATAGCCCACTAAGACGGATGTTGTGCTAATTGTGTTAAGAGTTTAGGAAACTTGTTAAATGTATTGAAAAAAGTGTCATAGCTGTAACATTTAAACTAGTTATGATACATTGCTCATATTATATAGAAAATAGCATACTTTTACATTATTCTTATATTTAAAAGTATCTGTATTGTACTACCAATTAACCATATCTCATGTTAGCATATATAGTTAAAGGCAGCTCATATGAATTGGGACCTTAGTTGTTTATAACATATTTTGTCTACCTCTCTTGTGAAGGCATTAAAAAGTGTTTAGCGGAGATAGTGGAGATTGCATTTACCTTTGACACGGTGACAGAGTGGATCATCATCTGAAACACAAAAACACATCAGTCGTTAGAACTCGATGAGTAAAGGTTTAAAATGGACCGTTCACTTAAAAGTTACAATACTGCACTTCCGGTTATGGCTAGGTGCTGAGAGGTCGCGATTTTTTGGCTCTGCTGCTAGCCTGCTAGTTTACGATCAATCTTACAATACCAACCAGAAATGTATCTAAAGTCAAGCAACACAAATATAAAAGTATAGGGAAGTAAGATGTCACGCAAAGGTGCCAAAAAAGACAAGAAAAAGACCAGAAACGAAGATTCTGAGAGTGAAAAAACTAACAACGCAATGGCAGCTGGTGAAGGTCCTGACGAAGATGATGATGAAGCAGTAACTTCAGATGGAAGTAACGAAGATGTTAGGAAAGCTATAATGTCCTTGAAATAGTGTCCTTAATTGTATAGCCCACAAAGACGGATGTTGTGCTAACCGTGCCAAGAGTTTAGAAATCTTTTTAAATGTATTGAAAAAACTGTCATAGTCATTGTAAAAAACTGTAAATACACACTCCCCTGGTTTCTAAGACAAGGCTAAAGGCCCTTATGAACAAGAAGTTTAAGAGTACTATACTTCTTGTGAATAAATAAATTAGGCTTGCTTACAGGAGAGTGTGGACCCAAGCATATATATATATATATATATATATATATATATATATATATATATATATATATATATATATATATAAGCCTCATTTTAAAAGAATGTTTTAGACAGAAATAAATATTTACTGTTATAGTAACTCACACATGTGGTCTAATAAAATTTTTTTGTACAAATGTGGAGCCACTTAGATAAATTGCACATTGCTACTGACCACATCAGAAGGAATAAAGGAACATTAATTTATTCACTGATTTTCCTTAGCTTAGTCGCTTATATATCAGGGGTCGCCAAGCGGAATGTGGAAGTGAAAAATAAGGTGTAGCTAAGCAGTGGGCTAAATATAACAGTGTTACTTTCGCTCCTTTTTTTAACTCTTGCCATTAATACCTGATTTTTTTTTAAACAAAAAAAAAAAAGTCTAGTCCAGGGGTGTCCAAACTCGGTCCTGAAGGGCTGGTGTCCTGCTGAGTTTAGCTCCAACTTGCTTTAACACACCTGCCACGAAGTTTTTTTGTATATCTAGTAAGAACTTAATTAACTGGTTCAGGTTTGTTTGTATAGGGTTGGAGATAAGCTCTTCAGGACACCGGCCCTCCAGGACCGAGTGTGGACAACCGTGGTCTAGACCAGGGATGTGCAAACTTGATCCTCGAGGGCCGGTGTCCCTGCAGAGTTTTGTTCCAACACTAGTCAAACACACCTGAACATGCAGTGTCTTTAAGATGACAAGAAATCTATAAGCAGGTGTGTTTGATTAGGGTTGGAGCTAAACTGTGCTGGACACTGGCTATATATGAATGTGATATATATATGACAGCTGATTCCCATCTAGAAAGCACACTCATGATCATACTGTATGTTCAAAAAGATTACTCATGAGGTTTTTGAAAGGAACAGTGAGCACATTACAGAACTCTGTATATATATATATATATATATATATATATATATATATATATATATATATAGGGAATATATTTGTGTTTCAATTGACAGCATGAACAGCTGGCTTTAGCCTATATAGGTTCTGTTTAGAACATGCTGTTATCTGTTCTGACATACTGTGTAAAAGCATTGGTAAATTGCACTGTAAAATTACATTGTTTTGGTCTTGGTTGTGCTTGTGTGTAAAAGAAGTTCAAGCATTTTAAATTTGTGTTAACTGGATGCCTTTTGTGTCAAAGCAACAGGAAATGTGTTAATTGTATAGCCCACAAAGACGGATGCTGTGCTAACCATGAGATTAGGAAACTTGTTAAATGTATTGAAAAAAGTGTCATAGCCATTGTAAAAAACTGTAAATAAAGAAACATGCAGCATAACATCAGTGTTTTCCTGTTTATCTTTGATTCAAACACTGAGAAACCATTAAAGTGACGTCACCAGCTCCATTGAGTGCATTATGTCTGACATTGCATCTCTGAGAGATGCAATCTCAGCTTGCATCATAAAAGCTGTATCCAGATACTATTGGAAATGTTATAATTCTCTGATGTTAACTCTATAATTGTCTATGGTTTAATCCATTATTTAACGCAAAGCAATAACATGCTTGCATGTGCCACAGAATTATGAAGGTTTATAAGATACAAAAATATTGCTCTATGGTTTGGTTTGGTTTGGTTTGGTTTATGCTCACAGAGACATCAATAATCGGCAAATGAATCTCAACAACGGTGACAAATAACACAAGTCACACGCATCACAAACAGGATACAAAAAGGGACAACATCAACAAAATGAACATAAACAGCGGAATCAACAGCAAATAATGAAAACTGGAGCTTCATAAGCTATAATTTATTCATACTGCAATGCTGGGATTTTTGTACTCTGCCACGACATTTTTAATTGTTACCATTGTTGAAGGGCTGATTCATGAGGTCTGAGTGTGTCTTTATAACAACTGAACTGTTTTTATTATTATTATCTCTTAGCTGGAACATGAACTGGTTACTTTCCACATTGACATTCATAACGTAAAGGTATAAAACATAGTAGAACATAGCAAAATTTTTCATATAATCAATCAAACCTTAGGCTTTGAGTAAAGACTGAATTACTTACATATTCACAAAGGTGTTTAACTCTGAGTTTTAGCATCCAGAGAAAAACTAAAGTTAATAAGTCAAGGGTGAAGAGCCAAACTAAAGCAGTCACTGACCTCCATTATGGTGACACCAAAATAAATAATACACCCAAACCTCTGTCAATTCTCAATAGGAACTGTCTGCAAGTCAGCGGTCAGTAATCAGTGAATCTGCTGAAGCTTTGTGGAGTTATTTAATGATCTTTAAGCTCTTTTATTTTACTTGATTGTATTTATGCTGTAACTGAAATCACTGTTTGTGTTTATTGTTTCTCTTTCCTTCAGTGAATGTGATTATTAAGAGCAGGTGTTCATCAGTGTCTGAGTTCACTCATTAGTGTTCATAAACTCTGTCAAGTGAACTATATTAGTGAACTAGAGTACATGATATTGAACAGTGCACAAAGTGTGATGTCAAACACTGAATCTAAGTGTCGACGCTGAGCTCTGTGAATATACAGTTTGCTACTTTCTCAGAAACAACAAGATTACCCAGAATGCACAGTGTTTTTACAGAAAATCACAGTTTTAGTTAAAATACAGATTTTTACTGTAGAATGTCGCTGTTTTTTTACACCAAAGTTTTAGCTGATTTGTTTTGTAATTAACTTCATCTGCAGTCATATAGCATTTTCATTTCCTTTGCCATTAAAAACCTGTAAACTACTTAATCGAATGTCATTCTACTAGTAAATGCTGTAATATTTTTCTGTGAAAAAATATATTATAATATATTATAATATGAACCAACCTGAGTGAGTGTGTAGAAACACAGAGCTGATGATGATTATAAATGTGATCTGGCACACAGACATCGCCGGAGCTGACATAAACACAGGACACTTAAATATTAACGACAGTCTTTAACTATAAATTAAGCTTGACAGCTCATCTTTGTGTTGTCAGAAATTTAATAATTAATAACATTTTTGCAAATACATTTTTGGGAGGTTTCAAAGTTTAAGCCTTACCTTGAGAAGTGCAGTCAACGAAAAAAGCAGAAGTTTCTTGAAGATCTTCCTGTTTATTAAACCTCATAGAGATGTGACACATTGCTGATGCCCCAACAGCACTAAAAATGACAGCTCTACATTTGTTCATTCTATCGTAACCTAAAACACAAGAATATTACAAGAAACAATGTTTTTTTTTGATAAAGTAAGCACAGCCCTAAAGTATGGATAAATATATAAGATGCAAATGTAAAGAGGGTCAGAAGGCTATTCTGTATCTTTTCTTTCCGGTCTCTGGCTAAGATGAATGAATGTAACATTAAAGTAACTAATTTAAGTGATTTTGTGCAATTTATACATTAGATGTATTTTTCTATAAGCTACTGGAACATTTTTATTGTGTGTTTTTAAAAGCCTACTAATAATGTAAGATTAAATATAATACTAACCATGTACTGATTACAGAGCCTTTGTTCTGTGAAAGAGATTATGAAAACCTTAGAGGACTACTGCCAACCCTGTTCCTGCAGATTTCAGTTGCTACCCATATCAAACACACCTGAACCAATTAATTAGGAACTGAACACAGGCAGGTGTGTTTGATATGGGTAGCAACTGAAATCTGCAGGAAGGTGGCTCTCCAGGAACAGGGTTGGCCACCCCTTTTCTAGAGGTCTCTATAATCCTGCACCAGGTTGTATCCAGAAAAGATAACCATTGAACAATGAGGATGGTGGTGCTCACAGCAGCCAGAAAACAAACACAAACACTTTAGTAAGATTCAGCAAATTGCCAAAGAGCGCTTCGAATACAATTTCTCCCCTCTCAAATGCTTAATTTGGAATAATAGATCTATTACACACTGTAATAAATCTCTATTTTTTTTATCAATAATTAATTGGTTTAGAAAAAATATTTAGCTGGTTTCACAATTTTCTGTTGTGTTGGTCATGTGCTTACCTATTTAGAGTTTCTAGAAAAATGTTTCCTTAAAATACCTGTCAAAGTGTATATGATGGTAATTAATGGGTTCCCCTCATAGGTTAATTCCCCTCAAATGATTAGAGAATGATATAGTTCAAGATACAAATGTAAATTTTAGTCTTAAATTGGAGGATATAAATATAAAAAGAAAAAAATGTAATAGGTATTATCTTAGAATGATTTGCCGGATTGTCAGTGTTCCTGGCTTTTGAATTTCAAGACGTCAATTGGAACGCGACTTTTAAGATCTCCGGATGTTTTTGTATGACAAATAAAATTAGAGAGGTATCATTTAAAAATTGTTCATCATATTTATCCTGTAAAACAGTTCATTGTATAATTTTGTAAAGATGTTTATTTAAAATGTGTTTTCTGTAATGATAAAGAAGAGAGTATTGTTCATTTCTTTTATGATTGTAAACAAATTTATTTTGCTGTGATCTTTGCTTTTTTTGTTAAGCAGAGTATAAATACTGAATTGGAATTCAACGAAAAAGATGTGTTATTTTCTATGAGAATATACTTCAAGATTTGGTATATTATTAATTTGCTCATTATGGAAATGTTTTTTGTATTCATGAATGTAAATGGGCAGTGAAAAAATAATATTTTTACTCACTTCAAAATAAAAATAGGTCATTAACTGTGTATGACAAAAGAAACAAAAAATACCAAAGAAAAAAGAACTGTTAATTATCTTAAAGCTTTAATCTTCTCTTTAAATAATTTTAATATTTATTTTTATTTTTATGTTGTATTTATTTTGATGTCAATTTAATGTTATGTCATTGCTCTTGCTCTGTCTTGTAAAATTGCAATAAATAAATAAATGAATTCATTCATTTATTTATTTTCTTTTTGACTTAGTCCCTTTATTAATCCAGGGTCACCACAGCGGAATGAACCGCCAACTTATCTAGCACATGTTTTACGCAGCCGATATCCTTGCAGCTGCAACCCATCTCTAGGAAACATCCATACACACTTATTCACACTACGGACAATTGTAGCCTACCCAGTTAACCTGTACTACATGCCTTTGGACTGTGGGGGAAACCGAAGCACCCGGAGGCAACCCACGCGAACACTGGGAGAACATGCAAACTCCACACAGAAATGCCAACTGACCCTGCTGAGGCTTGAACCAACAACCTTCTAAGTTCTCTGCTATAGAAATCAACATGAATTGAACTGAAACATGAACACAGAGTTTGTAGGGGTTAAAAAGAAAACACACAAGAAAGAAATTATACATCTGTTTAATCTGATTCATACTTGCAAACACAAAGTGACTTTAGCCTCGGGAATACAAAAGTGGAACAAAATAATTTCAGTTATATGACAATAGCAATTCATTTATAGAAATATAACCGTTGTCATTTGCATAGCTACACATTAAATGCAGATTTTAATCTCGTTTTATATTTGCCAGTACTCATAGACACACCACCAATCTGTACCGATTCAGCTCTCGCCAAAATCAACAACATACCATCACGTCTTCAACACAGAAATAACCTACAGAACCATGCAGAGTGATCATAAAGAAAACACGTCTACTCCGAACAAAACACATGCATTTAGAAATACAACTCATGACGATCTTCACATAACACAAAATAACCCTGGGAGAGAAAACATCAAGCATGAAACTATAACTCTATGCAATGCTAAGCTTGCATGTAACATCACTGGTCATGCTAGTAAAGCGGATGCATGCAGTATCAGCGCCGTTTACTAAGTTGCTCAGTAGGTGGATGATTCACTGTTGCCCTGGTTGTGACTGTTTACTCTAAGGTATATTACCCGCTTGTTACCATGGCGATGGTTAGCGGTGTGGCGCCTTCAGAGCAGCTTCCACCTCCTCTTCTGGTTGAAGTGTGTGCCACTGGGCCACTGGACGGCGGGGATTAGCAAGCATGTCCGACCAGTGGCGTAAACCGACACCGGTGGCTCCGTATCCAATAAAGGTTTTGCCAATAGGATCATTGCTGCCCAACTTGTCGTAATCATACACAGTGATGAGGAGCTGGACTTTCTGCAATAGAATAGAGTTGGTTTGAATGTTAGATTATTGTGTTTGGACATCAGTGATTTTAAAGAGGTTTAAGATCACATCACCTGAATCTGTTCGAATGGGACCTCAAAGCTAAAGCTCTCATTGAAGTATGGGTTCAGGGTGTTCTTTTTAACGGTCGTCTTCTTCTTTTTAAGACGCTTTCCATTATGCTGCAACACAATCTTCACATACGGATCTGACGCAGGAAGCAAGACCATTATCAGTGTGGCTCAGATAAAATAACACAAGTGGAAAAAACCTTATTGTGTTAAAGGGTCGTTCACCCCCAAAAGAACATTTTGTTAATAATTAATTACATTATTGCTTTTTTTAACACCCCTAAGATATTTTTGATGTAATCTAAGAGCTCTGTGACCATCCATGGGCACCAAGATGTTCAAAGTCCAGAAGAGGAACTAGTGATGTGACTCTGTGCGCCGAGGCTTCGAAGCATGTATCAAAAAAAATCATACATCTCGCAGTGAAGCAGTGTACCGGAGCTTGATTCGTTTTGCTATCATCACGTGATCAGTGACGTCAGAGCTTAATTTTCTATACGCACGTGACTGCTTTGAATTTTGATTCAAAGGTTTAAACACCCTCAAAGTGTATAGCGAGAGATTAGGCGTCGATTACATACATTTCTACTGTTTCAAAGCACTGCACCGGTGCCACACACCAGTAATTAAACTAAAATACAATATTCATTTATAGTAAAAAGGTTTTGAACCATACAAAAGTGTATTAGCGTATTTTTTTACAACTATTTTTTAAAGAAAACCACCGCATATCGTAGTATAGTGCTTAACAGAGACGAGCTGGCGAGTGCAGCCCGAAATCATCTCTCAACTTCCTCCTAGAGCATCCACCTCCCATACAGGAATCGCTGGTTCGATCCCCGTTTGGAATGGGACTAGTTGTAATATGTCAAATGTAAATACTGTACTTTTGAATAGCTTGGATTTTACTAGTTATTAGTGGTGTAATGTAACATACCCTATGTGTAAAAAATAAAGGGTTGAAGTTCATTTTTACAACAATACCACAGTATAGCCAACCGTGTGCTGTGTTTGTTCCTGTCATTTTTCTGATGGTTGATACAATGACCTATGCTGCAACACAGGATTTGCCGGCCGTTTGGTATTGAAGGAGCAGCAGAGACTATGGGACTTCGTCAGACTTTGACAGGGACTTTGTCAGTAACTTTTACAGTTCAAATGGACCAGTTTCTTCTTCCTCCGGATCATAGCATGTAAGTGTCATTCAAATTGTAGCTTCGTTTTGTGTAGTTTGCATCTGCGTGACCCACGGTGCATGCAACGCGCGTAGCTGTGCATTTATACTTCTGCGCGCTGTCTCTGTTGATCTGCGTTAACACTTCCGAAACACTAGTGGTAGTGGGCAGTGAGGTGTTAATGTTACCTGTGTCGAGTTTCTTCGCTGCTGTTTTGTTTTTTCTGAACGCTTCCTGAATGTACAAGTGGCTCAAACTCGCTCATTTTGAGGCAGGAACCGGCGGACATACAACAACTTTAACCATAAGGTAAACACAAAACAAAACTTTCCATCCGGAGCTCCTTCACAGGACTCCACACTTGTAAAGAATCACTCCATCGGGCTCGCGTGGCTCTTGGTCCTGCCCAGACTCGTCAGCACTACCAAGCCGACCAATCACAGAGCTTGCGCTATGCATCGTTGCGATGTGTAGTTAATTTTTGAGAGGTGCGCGTCAGCGACGCAGACGGCCACGGTATATCTATTCGTCAACGCGTAGGCTGCGTCGTAGCATTGCCGTGCGTTTGATGCAGAAGTATAAATCAGCCTTAATTGTGTGCTGTAAGTTGTAATCATCCCGAGCGGCTTTTAATCACATATGGATTATAGATCAATGCTTGTACTGTATCTCTGAGGTTAAACCTTTTTGGGGCTGTTCACATATCACATCCAAAAAAAGTGACGTTCTTTCCCCTCACAGGGTAGTATTAGATATATTCATCAAAATTGTTTTTGTACCAGGCTGTAAACATCTTTTTTTTTGCTGTAAAGTTGGCCATTTTAACAGTGGGCTCAATAGAAATGTGAACTGTTATGGAGCCAGGCTTAGCACAATTTTGATGAATTGCAGTTTCTGTTACTTCCATGTTAGCTTCACAAGGGAGAGCGGGATGTTGCCGCTTAATCTTAATTTGTATTCCAAAGATATATGAAGGACTCAGGCAATGGGAAGGGCATGAGGGTCAGGAATTAACATTTAACATTTTAATTTATTGTTGTTGTTTTATTTATTTTATTTATTTTTATTTATATTTGATTTATTTTGTTTAAAAAAAATAAATCACCTGATAAACCACCCACATCCATCTTCTTAAGATTTTTGGCTTCCATTATGTTGACTGTGAGTTTACCAGCAGTTGGCACATAACGCAAAGAAATACAAACGTCTCCGAGTTTCTCCTGTTGAAGACAAAAAGGAAGACGATGGTAATCTAAAAAAGACCGGGATCTTATAATCAGAAATCAAGCCAGTAAAGCAAAATATTGAGAGGGAGTATATACTACAACATACCTCCTCCTTCTCTCCATTTTCGAGTTCCCTCCATTCATGCAGCGGCTGAGCAAGATCCACGCAGTTCATGGGAATCTTTATCTGGCCAATCACATCGTGTTTACCGAACCGATCGAAATCAAACACCTGAAGCACCAAAGTTTTACCACCCAACTCAGCATAGGGAATCTATAATGAGTAAGGAGAGAAACCAATAGTTTTTTGAGTGTTTATATGACTTAAAGCGTCAAGATATCTTTTCTTAACTGCTTACAAACCTAGAAATAAATACAGCAACATCAAAAAAATCTTTTTAAATATATATTCAGATGCAGCTAATTAAAGGAATAATTCAAATGAAAATTTTGTTTTCCATTATATAGCCACCTTGGCGTGGAGCAGAAAACGTAAATTGTTTACTTATAGAAAAATCTGATATAAAAAATACATATAGGGCATACAAGTTCATGTTTAGAGTTTATTTATTCATTCATTTTCCTTTAGCTTAGTCCCTTTATTCATCAGGGGTCCCCACAGTAGAATGAGCCTCCAACTTATCCAGCATATATTTTATACAGCGGATGCCCTCCTTGCTGCAACTAAGTACTGGGAAACATCTAAATACACTTATAAAGACACATAAAGTAAGGCCTATTTAGTTTATTTTCTATATCTATAGCGCAAATATGTATATTTGTAATTTCAATGTGCTATAATTTCAGATCTCCATATGGTTTAGCAGCCTCTCATGAGGAAACGTAAAGATTTTACGTTTTGTCAGTTTAGTGGCTAATTTGTACAAATTTGTACGAGTTCAGTCATATGAAAATGTACATTTTTAAAAGGAGGTGTGGTTAACCCCTCCCCCCAACCCATCTGTCATTGGGGGATGAGCAAATTGTAACACATTGTACACATGAGATTGTACGAATTCATTCGGATTAGCCACTAAATCAAACTTACGAAGTGCCGTGAGATATTGTTGAGCTACTTTTGACAATGTTGCCCAATTATAACCATGTGTAAACATTCTTGAAAATACTTATTTTATTGAAAGTACCTTTGAATAGTTTGTTACAACAAGAGGCTAAATATATGATATCTTCTGGTAATAAAGAAATATTATTTCATTTTTAGGTGAATTATTCCTTCAAAACATAGATAATCTCAGTGATACCTGGATAGATGTCAATCAAACAATGAATGACAAAACCAGTGTGGGGACGCAGGGATTTCTGGGAACTTAGGAAGCCACACAAGGAGACAAAAGCCTGACAACAAACCTGAGAGAGAGAGAAAAATGGAAAGACAAACTACAGGTGGAACTAAACAGATGCCAGAACACACAGAAAGACAAAACTACACAATTAAAATGTCACAACCCAGCAGGCACATAATGTCATAAGACGTTAATAATAGATTTGATTTAGGTCATTATGTTGGGTGATCAAAAATGTACATTATTTTGATGTCCAATGAGGACATCAAATGATATTGCATTGGTAAAAGTGACCAAAATCCACCAACATCTGAAGCCAACGTCATATTCACATCAAATACTGACATTTATTCATCAGGTATGGCAACCAAAATCCAACATCTGATAGACGTTATAGTGTTACCATCCACACAACATCAAGCTGTAACATTATTAGATGTTGAAAGTTGGTTGTTTTTACATTGCGCTGGAAAGTGACCAAAACATAACATCTGTCCAATGTTGGACATTGAAATCGGTCTGACGTTAAGTTCTGACGTTAAGTTCTGACATCAACACAATTTTCATTTGCACCCAACATGCAACATCTCACGACGTTGGGGTACAACATCAATCTGACATTATGTTGACGTCTTGTGCCTGCTGGGAAGCCATAATGGACAACCACATGTTCACGGTAACACATGTATATATTTAATTGTAAGCATAAATCTGGCCATGTGCAACATGAAGTTTAATAGTAAACTAATTTTGAGAGGACCCACATAACCTAATCACGATCCTCCAATTAAAGGATCCCAATTCACTATATATATATATCCTCATTTCCTTTCTACAACTATCTTCGTCAGGAAGAATCCCCCCTCATCCCCTTCTTCCACCTTTATCCAGAATGATGGCCCAGTGACTAGCACTGTTGCCTCACAGCAATAATACCAATGGCGCCGAGTCCTCGCTGGGCCATCTGATATTTCTGTGCGGAGTTTGCATGTCTCCCCATGTCTGCATGGGTTTCCCTTGGGTTCCCCGGTTGCCTCCCGCTGTCCAAATATGCTCTATATTATAGACAAAATAAGCCTAAATCTTTTTTCTAAATGTCTTAGGGTGCTTTCACAACTAGACTTTTGTTTCAGAACCTGTCTCGTTTACCCAGTTAGCGCGGTTCGTTTGGCATATGTGAATCCAGCAATCGCGCTCGGATCCGCGTCAAAACAATCAGTCTGAGATCGCCTGAATGAGGAGGTCTCAGCTCGATTGAAATGAACTCTGGAGCGGATTGATTGTAGTAAAAAAGTGATACAACCCGAGCCAGGCTATTTCACAGTGTTTTATGGATAAGTAATAGTCATACGGCTATGAAGAGAGAATTCCAGACATCCCAAGTCTCCCGGAAGTTCCAAATGCACAGACACTCCCGGATGCCCGCAAACAAGTAATAATCTCTCGATAATCGCGCTTTTCCCTCCTGGTCTTCAAATACGTTGCGTACCCTTCTCACACCTCCCCACTGCATCCCTCCTCGCTCTTCAGACACGTCGCGCACATCCTGTGAAACCACCATCCCCCTGACAGCTGACCGCGACTTTGCAAAATAAACCGTGAAACTCTAACCAATGTGAGGAAGTTTACTCACACATGTTTTAGCTATTTTAGTCCATTTAGAACCTTTGTCGTGTGAAAGTGAACCGCACCAGGAACAAAGAACGACAATGTAACAATTTTAATCCCTGTTTCGGAACAAATGAATCGATTCACAGGAAAATGAATCGATTCACAGGTGTGAAAGCACCCTTACTTTCAGGAAGATCACCTTAGCCTCAGCAGCAGGGGCGTTTTGAGATCGACCTTAGCTCAATCTCCCCTCACCCTGCGAAAGGGAAGGAGCCCTAGCCCTGAGGATCTCTTGAGCTCAGGGTTCTCTCGCTGGACAGCACGCCAAACAAACTATGTATAGATCATGAGCTAAGTGTGAACTCTTGAAAAAAAAACATTTAAGAAAAACCTTGAAAATAAAGGTCTCGTTGAACACAGGGCAGAGGTTTTTGCGTTGGACTTTGGTTTCAAACTTCTTCTTCTTGTCTGGAAGCAGGTAAACTTTTACATATGGATCAGACGTGCCACCGATATCCATTGCAGCCAGATCCTGAGCTTGAAGAATCCCAACTATCAGCTGTTGACCAAAAGAAAGAGGAGAAATATTTGAAAAAGAGAAAAACTACATTAAAAATAGGCCAAAAATATTCCAGAAATGCACCTGGGCATCTGTAAAGTTATAATCCAAAGAGAATTCCAGCTTTCCCAGATTTTCATGCTCCTCCTTTTGCTCCTCTCCCTCCTTTTTTTCCCCTTCATCCTGCAAAGGACAATCAACAGGCTGTCTCTGCTTTAAATATCTCTAACAAAAGATACTTTCTTGCTTTTTTAAGCATCTTAAATCTAGATGAAGTTGTTTTATTTTGTCCAGTAAAATGAATGTTTGTAACAAACTCAATAAATAATACATTAATCGAGGTTGGCACCTTTTGCTCTCCTTGACCTTCTCCTTCAGTTCCTTCGACTTTTTTCCGTGCTGCTCGCTTCCTCTCTCGAGCTTTCTTGGATTTCTTTTTCTTGCCAAAGCATTTCTTGAACATGCAATATGTAAAACAAGCCACAAGGGCGAGAACCACCACCACGATGGCACCTACAGCCCACATCGGCACTAGAGAGAGCAGAGAGCTGGTCAGTCTCCATGGAAACAGGTACAGGACATCACAAAGGACAATACTCGCTTTTGTCTCGTCACATCAACTCAGTGTGCTGCGATTTTTTTTCTGAACTATCATTGTCTGTAAAGGTGAACAAATACACACAAATCGAAGTGCTCCATTTGTGTAAATGAAACACTCATCGAAGGCAGTAGTTACACAAAAAGCTGTTTGTTTAGAAAGACTCATGGATAAGAAGACAATAATGTGCAACAACTTCAATCTCTAAATCTCTGATAGTCTGTGTGATTTTCTATGGCTGTGGAGCTTGTTTTGTTTATTGAAAGAAAATTGTAAAGATGCTGTGACCACTCACATGTAATATCAATAAAAACTTAATCACAAAAAAAAAAAAAAAAAGCTGCGTGTTTGATTTTTAAGTGACATTAAGAGCAGTGAGTTGTAGAACTGATCAGAATTATCTATAAACAATAATAAATAAATTGTTTGGTTTAGGGGCGTAGATTTAGCATGGACCCCACCAATATCTACCAGCTACTAAAATGTCCCCACCAAAAATTTTAACACGCAGAAAGGGTTTAATCACATTCTATGTTTATTAATACCTATATATATATATATATTATTATTATTATTATTAATAATTAATAATAATTATTAGCCCCCCTGTTTATTTTTTTCCCAATTTCTGTTTAGCGGTAAGATTTTTTTAAACACATTTCTAAACATAATATTTTTAATAACTCATTTCTAATAACTGATTTATTTTATCTTTGCCATAATGACAATAAATAATATTTGACTAGATATTTTTCAAGACACTTCTATACAGCTTAAAGTGACATTTAAAGATTTAACTAGGTTAATTAGGTTAACTAGGCATGTTAGGGTAATTAGGCAAGTTATTGTATAATAGTGGTTTGATCTGTAGATAATGAAAAAATGTATAGCTTTAAGGGGCTAATAATTTTGACCTTTAAAATGATTCATGAAAAATTAAAAACTGCTTTTATTCTAGTCGAAATAAAACAAATGCTCTATCCAGAAGAAAAAATATTGTCAGTCATACTGTGAATTTTTTTTTGGCTCTGTTAAACATAATTTAAGAACTATTTAAAAAAGAAAAACAAAAACAAAAGAGCGCTAATAATCCTGACTTCAACTGTGGATGAGACATGTTTCATTTGCACTATAGCTAAAATAAACAGAAGTCTTTATTAAACTCTCTTTTTATCAGTTAATAAACATTCCTTTAACATTACACTATTTAATTTAATAAATTGTATGAAGAGATGATTCATTATTAATATATTTTACTAGCATTATTATTATATAATTTAGAGGGTATTATTATATAATTTGGGGGTTGAATTCAACAGTCCCCACCAATGTTAAGAATAAACCTACGCTCGGTTTGGTTTATGTTTAGTCTTTGCATTGTGCTGCTTTTGCGCTATTTCCACAAAAAATTAGATCAACATGGTTTAGGTCAGGGGTCACCAACATGGTGCCCGTGGGCACAAGGTAGCCCGCCAGGTTCACATGAGTTGCCCGCGGACCTGTTCTAAAAATAGCTCACCATAGCACCACATACGAGTAAGCTGCTTCTAATATTTTTATAGGTATTCTTTTTAAATTACACTTGCATTGGTGCAAATTTGAAAATTACTTTAAGTTATATAATAAAAAAACTTTAAAAACAATGTTAGACAAATGAAGTGTTGCATATTGATATTTATCTAGCTTGTTAAATCATTGTTGACAACTACTGTGAGAAATCATTAACATGATCAATGTCTTCACACAGATGAATATTATTAATTATTATTAATAACATGTAATTAAAAGTAAATTAAGAAAAATGTGTTATTTAATAACTGGTAGCCCTTCACACTAATCGGTACCCAAGAAGTAGCTCTCAGTTTCCAAAAGGTTGGTGAACCCTGGTTTAGGTCAACATGATTAAATAGATTCCTTTAAACTGGCTTTAAACAGTTGGTATAACGTTAAGAAAGAAAGTTGAAACATGGTCAACTTCAGGGTTCTGCCTTTAGGTATGTCTGTATTAGCGTTCTAAGCACAAAGTCTAAAGTGAATGGCTAAAAAAAATCAAGGGCGTGTCCGAATCCACTTTTGCTATTTTAAGAATGGGAAAAAATGTCTGTGCACCAGGCTCATGGTCTGAAAGCGTTGTGCTTATTCTCTAATAGGTGCAGTAGGTGATTGTCTTCAGAAACATTTATTTATTTATTTTTTGTGCTGATTGAAAGTCTGCACAATCCACTAGTAAGGATTAAATTAAATTATCTATAAATATTTTAACATTTTGGGTAAGTCATAAGACTAAAAATGTTCGTTCAATTAAAAAGTGCAGCACCGATTAATAACTCAATTATGACAGCTATCTCAAACTGCCTGTCAACAAATTTGAATTTCTGCGCAGATACGTCATGCCACCTTCAGCTGACGGAGAGAGACGTCAGGAAAACTCTGCATCAACCTGAACTTCTTTTTTAAAAAACAACTTGGCCTTGTATCCATGAAAAGAAAGTTTGTTTTTGAAAGGGGTATTGCCAAAAATGCAGAATCAGAACTTTTCTAAACCCTGAGTGAAAGTATAACTCAGGCTTTAGGGTGCCATGCTAGACTGGATCTCTTAGACAGCATTGGCAGCAAATCAGAAGCTTTACGTTTCTGTTGGAATTTGAGCATTTACAAGTCCAGACTATTCTATACAGTTAACATTATCCAGATTATTTACTTGTAAACTGAGTTTGTCTAGCTGCTGGTGCTTTTTTAGCATCTGCTTTGTGTTATTTCACCAGTAAAAAATATTTAACTGCTTGGAAGTACAAAGTGTCATTATATCATTTTTTTTAAATATAGGTTATAAACACAAAGGGTTTTACTTTTACTTTACTGCATTGTGTTAGTGTTCTCATTGTTTCCCCACAGCAGCTAATACATTTGTCACAATCAAAAACAGCTTGAGTGAGACTTTATGTTTATTAAAGTGTTAATATACTTACATGGAAGATGTTCCAGCTCATTCATGAACTTGCTCTTCATGTTGTCGTAGTCATGATGAGTTGGAGGAGCAGGATGTGGCCTGTGTTCTGGTTTAGAATGAGGTTCAGGTTCAGGTTCTGGTTCTGGTTCTGCTGGTTCAGCAGTGCGCCGAACACGGAAACCCATTTTTTCAAACCTAAGTGTCACAAAATAACATTTAATTAATGAGAAAGATGAATCTGTTTAAAGCTGCTGACTTAAATTTTTGTAATTTTTTGAAATATTTTACCCATACTTCTATAGGGTTTTCTTTTTCTGTTTTTATATTAAAGATCTTTTCAAATTAGAACTTTTTTCCTAAAGAAAGGTTAATAATAGTGCTGGGCAAAGATTAATAAGTTAATTTTGACAGTTTGTTTACTGTACATATTTATTTTTACATATAAATACACTCACCCATGCAAATATCTGGGAATTTGTATTATATTTATATATTAAAAATGATATTTTAGATTATATTTATATTATATTTTGAAAAAGAATATTTTTATTCATTTCTCAGTAAATATATTCAATGTATTTTAGTGCATTTAAAAAATAGATTTATTAAGCAGATATATTAATTAAATTAATAGTTTAGTCACCAAACATATTTAGAAATTTAAAGATAATACAATTAAATTCAAGCTAAATATTAGAAAAATAAATTGCAACCTACAAGATTTCAACTAAATGTTTCATTTTTTGCTTCTCTTAATTTTTCCTCCTTTTTTAATTTGTAATATTTTTCTTTAACATCAATTTAGCTGTACTCGTTTTTGGACTATTATTGTAAGTTATTTGTTAGCTAAGCTCCAGATTTGGCTTTAGTACTGACTAATCTAATGTATATACACATATATTGTATAGCTTCCTGTTAAAAATATTAATTTTAAAAGGCGATTTGTGAGATGTGTACTTATATATGCTAAGCATTGTATGTATATAATATATAACACCTATTTTATATTTAAAAAACTTATTTTGCATGTGATTAATCATGATTATGCCCATCAGCACTAGTTAATATCTAAACTGACCGTGAACTAAACTATCCTAAGAACCATCTTCATTCCTAGCGAATATGACTGTGATGACTTTTTTTTTCATATTGCCAATGAGAAACTGAGTTTCCTTGGAAACATGACAGCACAAGAGTCAGTGCTAAAACCAGCTCAAACGATCAGTCTTAAACAGTTACAGTATGCCAAATTGTGTGTTGTACACCGAATACACATTCTGTTCACAGATTCAAAGCTGAATGCTTCGCAAAACACTTAAAATTATATATGCATAAATTAGAAATGTCAGAAGACAAACATGGCTGATTCTAATCCATGATGTATTTACCCTCCTCTACCATACATCCACCCCCATCCTTACTGGTCTCTCTCTCTCACACACACACACACTCTCTCTCTCTCCTGTGTGTAACGAGATTATGGGGAAACCAACCAAAGCTTAGAAAACTCTGATAAACAAGTCCCCTCTTAGAGAATTGTAGCTACAGGATTCATTCATTAAAATTGTGTTCAGTTTCCCCCCTCTCAAAATAATAATTGACAGACTACCATAAAAAAAAAAAAAACATATAATTATGCAAATGCACCCCTGCTCATGATTTCAGTTGAATATTTGTACATATTATAAAATATTTATAATATTTTCAGATATTATTGTGACTAACCCAATACATTTAGGCTACTCCTGTAGCAATTTTTTTTAATCTGATGTTGTTTAGCAAGTTATAACTAGGCATTTCTTTTATTATTATTATCATTCTTTTTTTTATGTGACATGGGCTGACTGCTTCGATCACGATTCATTTGTTTTTACTAAAATGCCTTCACTTGCTTTTAATGAGTATCAGTACAGACCAAGATTATATCTGACACTTTATTTAACCAAAAATGTAACTCATGTATGTAAATAGAAACGTTTCATATTTCTTTCTTTCATTCCACTGTATTCAACACGGTCTATTTTGTGAGCTGTCGCATTTCTCGTTGCAGCACCACTGACATATCGCTTCTAAGAGTTATTATATTAATTTGTTATTAATTATAATTGTGTGATAAGTGTGAACGCGCGTCTCTACACGCGCTGCATGCAGCATTCGCAGGAACGCGCTTCTCGCTCGCGCAACAGGTTACGATGGTAACACACAAATGTGCAGTCAATTACATTAACAGTCTTAATTTACACATTTCTCAAAACTGAAGTTATTTGTTCGGATAATGCCCAACGTGTTTGTCCTGTCAGGTATGCTAAAATTAAATTCAATAATGGCTGGGTATAGAAAAAAAGAGAGCCGATCATACCTGATGAAGGAATTCCTCTGGATACCGTTGACGGGAAACACCTTCATATATAAAGACAATCCGAGGTTTGTTTTCCCAGCAGTCCTCATGCAGACATGCTGAAGTGTGGTTCTGGTGGTTTAACCCCCTCCCCATCAGCTTTAAGCTCAAGTGCTTTCAAATCATTAAAGCACCACTAATCTCTCTCCCCCTCCCCATCACATCTGTTCATGCAGTTATAGAATGTTTCTCCATAAATTCACCAGTGATTTACACCACGCCCCCTGTCTTTATTTTAGCTAAGTTACTGAAAAAAAAAATAAAAAGTGATGAATGTGTGTTAATCTTGTGCTCATTTCCTTTGAGAGCTCTTATTTACTGTACTCGACCGCAGAACATCAACCGCCCCTCTAATCCACATAAAACATCATGCTCGACATCATTGTTCCCATCTGGGACACGTTGTGGATGAAAATAGCCTTTCTGGCTTGATAATCTGTTTGATCACGGATTACACTGGTGATTTTTTTTTCAATCAATAAATCAGAAAGTATTCTTACTAAGCATATTTACTCTTACAGTCATAAACCTAAAATCTATCCTCTCTGATCATCTCTACACTGCTACTGATGTAAATTTGCTGGTTTGTATGACAGTATTGAAAGGTTGTAAAATTCATTTTGGACGTTCCTATTGATGATTATCCCTATATATCCATTCAAGAGTTCACACTTAGCTCATGATTTATATGTAGCTTGTTTGGCGTGCTGTCCCAGGAGAGAGCCCAGAGTTCCCCCCTTTCACAGGCTGAGGAGAGATTGAGCTCAGGTCGATCTCAAACTCCCCCACTAGTGAGGCCAAGGCAAACTTCCTGAGAGTAAGATGTTAGATATAAGATTTAGGCTTATTTGTCTATAATATAGAGCACATTTGGATGGTGGGAGGAAACCGGGGAACCCGGGGGAAACCCACGCAGACACGGGGTTAACATGCAAACTCCACACAGAAATACCAGATGGCCCAGCAAGGACCAGACGCCATTGTTATTCTTGCTGTGAGGCTACAGTGCTAGTCACTGAGTCACCGTGCCGCCCATTCTGGATAAAGGTGGAAGAAGGGGAGGAAAGGGGTTTCTTCCAGACAAAGATAGTTGTAGAAATGAGGATATATATATATATATATATATATATATATATATATATATATATATATATATATATATATATATATATATAGTGAATTGGGATCCTCTGATTGGAGGATCATGATTAGCTAATGTGGACCAGCTGGGTCAATCATGAGCACATGCTCCCCTCGAAATTAGATTAAAATTAAACTTCACATAATATTCATAAACATAGATTTATGCATGTACAGAGCTAGAGAATGTAGCACAAAGCAGAATTTTTTCTCTGATTGTTACCACAGTGAAACAGCAGTAGTGTTCATGTTTCTCAAGAAATGCAAAGTCGTTCAGGTTGTATTCAGCCATTAAGGATATAATTCTTCAGTCATTTGAGACAGGAGCATTTCCCTTACCTCCCATTCCCTCCACACTGCAAACAAATATTTGTTCACTCAACTTAACTTAGTTAAGTCGTCTTGTTGCATTGACTCAGTCAAGTTGTATTGATTTAATTCTCTACTTCTACGTTTTCTCAACTCAAAATGTTTAGTTGACAGAGTTAAATAATTGACCCAACTATTTATTTCAAGTTAACTGAACTTGCAAAGTTTAGTTTTAATAGGTTAACTTACATTATCAAGTTTTCAGAACTTGCCAAGTTTAGTTTAAATACATGAAAATACAGTGACTGTGGAGAGGTAAGAATGATTGAATGCCGAATTAGGGGGAGAGCATGCTCGGAGCCCGGCGGCTAGTCAGCGGGTCAATCAGAAACACTGAATAACATCTGTTTGATAGTGATTGGGTCGTTAAGAAACACGTTCATCTGCCCAGAGTGCCGGTGCGGCCTGAGGCTGGTGAGAAAAGGATCTGCCTGCTACAGTCTCCCAGCATAGGGAGGAGCAGGGGACGCGGGGGTCACCACCAGAGGGGAAAGAGCTAAAGGGAGCCATCCTTGAGAGCCCGGGGGAGTCACCACTGTCCGCCAAGATGCCAAAGCCTGCTTCCATCCACTGAAGCGGGAGCGGAGCAGGAGACCAGGACGGGTTGATAGATTCCTCCACCGGGCTCCCAGCACATCGTTGGATCTCTCAGCTGGTTGAGGACTGAGTGGCAGCGTGTCTGGTGAACTGACACCCAATATTTTTTCCCTCTCTCCCCTCTCTTTGTCGCTCTTCAGTATTTCCTCAGCTATCCAGCTCCTTTCCCTCTGCCCTATTTATTCTCAGGTTTCGCTGGTCCTGAAGCGTGGAAGCGTGCCGTCCGCTTGTTTTATTTTCTCTATTAATACCTATTAAAAGTTGTCGGTTCTCCACTTCCTTCTTCCTGGCAGCCAGGTGGCCGTAAACTTCATTACAGTGGTGTCGAAACCTGGGAAGAAGAAGAAACTTTGCTGCCAGAATGTCCACTCAGGAAGTCATCCAGGCTCTTGTGGTTCTTCACAGAGAACAACATCACATGCTGGTGGAACTGAAGAAAGATCTGCAACAACGTTTCTAAGTCTTCACAGAGGCCTAGCGGGAGGACCGCGAGCTAATCCGGAGTCTGCTGGCCCAAGGAGGAGGCTAAGTACAGCACCATAGAAAAGGAGTGTCTGGTGATACGGTGGGCCGTTCTCACTCTTCGCCAGTGGTGTAAGGTAACTAATTACAAATACTCAAATTACCGTAATTGAGTAGTTTTTCTCAGGAATTGTAATTTAGCAAGTAGTTTTATTAATGTGTACTTTTACTTTCCTTTGAGTACATTTTTAGTGCAGTATTAGTACGTTTACTCCACTACTACCAACCTGCAGTCACTACTTTATTTATTCTTGTCTATGGGGATTAGAAAAATCAGTCCTGCAATTCCTGTTCAATCAAATCACATATAGAAGGTGTCCCAGAGACTGTTTAGATGCATGTCACGGATGAGAAGATGACGTGATGTTTACTATATGACTGAAATGGTCTTAAACACTCAGCAGGTAGAGAACGTCAACATGACGTCAGATTGACGTTGTACCCCAACGCCGTGGGGGTGTTGTGTTTTGTTTGGAAATGAAAGTGAGGTTCTCGCTAGAACTCAGTCAGGCTGACGTCAATGTCCAACATCCAACCTAAAATCAACCAAATATCAACATCTAATGATGTTCCGGCTTGACTTTGTGTGGATGTTAACACTATGTCTATCAGACGTTGGATTTTGGTTGCAATTCCTGAGGAATAAATGTCAGTATTTGATGTCAGTATGACGTTGTTTTAAGATGTTGACTCGTTGTTGGATTTTGGTCACTTTCCAACACAACCTAAAATCAACCAAATATCAACGTCATTTGATGTCGTTACTGGACATCAAAATAACATAGTCCTTAGATGCTGACTAGACAATGAATTTTGGTCACCGGACGTCACAACCTATATCTAACCTAATATTAGCGTCTTATGACGTTGTGTGCTTGCTGGGCGATGACTAAACACACTACACAATGTTGCGTTTACACATATCCACAAATTACATGTAAACACATCAGCTTTTTGCAGCATAATACTCACTACTTTTGAATACTATTGAAAGGGCTACTTTTAACTCATACTTTGGGTAATGTTTACAACAGATACTTGTACTCTACTTGCGCTACATTTTTGGGCAAGCAATGGTAATTTCACTTAAGTATGACTTTTCAGTACTTTTTCCATATGAGACACAAGAAAGGAAACTTTAAAGGGCTGTTATCATGCTCACTTTGGCCAATCTCACATTAATCTTGTGTATCTATAGAGTAGTACTACATTCATCTACTCTTCTTACCTAGCTTTCAGATTCTCTCTAGAGCATCTGGAGGTGAGCGGTTGGCAGATCTACCAAATCAACAGCATCCTAGTAAAGCAGAGCTTCCGCTTAATAATCTGCTACAACCTGCAGTGTAAATAAAACAGGGGGAAAACTTTGTCATCTTAACCCTTTGACACTTACAATCACACTGGTGTGATCCGTCTGTGAGCAGCTGCTTTGATTTAATCATTCAAATCTGCTTTCCTGTCTGGCGCTGAGCCAGAAAAAGACTTGATTTTTGACAAAGAAATATTGTCATACATGCAAATAATTCTTTAGCACTTGGTTGATGATTTGCATGAAACTCCAACTCTCTACTATTAAACAGATGCTCCCCCAGCCCTAACAACAACCTCTTATATGTGCTTGTGTGCACATTCAGTGGCTTTCAGTATACATTACACTATTTTTGAAAAACTTGGAGGATTTGGCTTTCAGGGTGAACCTATTTTTTAGTACTGACATGTTAAACATGACTAACAGAAAGGTAAATGCAGATTTCTCAAGCAAAATATGATTTTAATATGAAACATTTCTTTAAAAAAATAAAAGTGAATGTTTTGATGGTGTAAGGCAACCTGTCTCTACCTTTACAACAGCCTTTACATCTATTGTTATTGAAAGGGTTAACTCACCAGTCAATGGAAAAAAGATCCCATCCTAGTCAAAAGGGGCAGGGCTTGGGCTTAAGCTCACAATCACTTACAATTGACATTCAGCTTCTGGTGAAAGCATTGCTATCCTGCTTCCTGACAGAAACATCATTACATTTTCACAGGTAAGAGTTCTGTTATGATTATATTAAGCATGGGAATTTGAAAAGTCTTCATTTTTCCTGTAATTTTCCCCATTGGAACTATTAAATAAGCAAGTGTAAAGATTTTTTAGCCAGTATACACAAGCGTGAGAATAGTTATCACCTGACGTTACTGGACTTTGACCTCTTAGTGAATGTTTAGTGGTGAGTGAGATGAAACGGAGCATGAAACTCTAATAAAAGTTGAATATAAGGCCATTTTAAAGAGACAAACGTCTTCTCTTTAGTTTTTAACAAGAGGAGAAATGAACAAAAGACAGAACACACACACGCCCACATCATGAGCCAGTCACAAAGTGCTTTTTGATGTGGTTTGTTTAGTGTATTCATACAGTACGTTATTGCTTTATGGACTGAAAGTGATTTATATTTTGTATTATAACTTGTTCATCTTTATATCAACATCATCATTACTTCTGTTTTACACCATTTTTTTGGTGTAATGGAGAGCAGATTTCTTCAACACATTTATAAACATAATAGTTTTAATAACTAATCTCTAATAACTGATTTATTTCATCTTTGCCATGATGACAGTATATAATATTTTACTAGATATTTTTCAAGACACTTCTATACAGCTTAAAGTGACATTTAAAGGCTTAATTAGGTTAATTAGGTTAACTAGGCAGGTTGGGGTAATTAGGCAAGTTATTGTATAATGATGGTTTGTTCTGTAGACTGTTGAAAAATATATAGCTTAAAGGGGCTAATAATATAGACCTCAAAATAGTGTTTAAAAAATTAAAAACTGCTTATATTCTAGCCGAAATAAAACAAATACGACTTTCTCCAGAAGAAAAAACATTATCAGACATACTGGATGACTAGGTACTCTTTTCATTCATTTTCTTGTCAGCTTAGTCCCTTTAATAATCCGGGGTCGCCACAGCGGAATGAACCGCCAACTTATCCAGCAAGTTTTTATGCAGCGGATGCCCTTCCAGCTGCAACCCATCTCTGGGAAAGTACTCTTTTCAAATGTACCTAATTAATTCACTGTGGCAGAAATTGTCTGTTTTATGGGTCTGTCCTCTTTTGTGTTGTCTTCATTCTGTTTCCGGCCACTCATAATCAGATCATTACTTGTGTACCCTTTCAGTTCATTATTGTGTATTGAAGCAGGCCTAGTTTTCCAGGTATTGGTGTGGGCTCTTTTTCTTTGGTGTGTGTTTATTCTGTTACCTCGTGTTTCAATTGTTAATCCCTTATATTACATCAGTTTTCCTCATCAAAAAAGTGAATGTCAAGCCCTGGTTGTAATTATGATTAGTTTGATCAGTGTATGCATTCAAAACAGCTATGTAGTTTCTGTACAAATGTTTGAACTCAATTATCATTGCTGGAATTGGCAAGTGACACCTGGCAAATTCTTACACGGGGCTGCAAATACCTACTTTGATTTACCAATAACTGCTCAGACAAATGGGTGATGCGGTGGCGCAGTAGGTAGTGCTGTCACCTCACAGCAAGAAGGTCGCTGGTTCGAGCCTTGGCTGGGTCAGTTGGCTTTTCTGTGTGGTGATTGCATGTTCTCCCCCTGTTGGCGTGGGTTTCCTCTGGGTGCTCGGGTTTCCCCCACAGTCCAAAGACATGTGGTAGAGGCGAATTAGGTAAGCTAAAATTGTGCGCATGTATTTGTGTGAGTGAGTGTGTTTCCCAGTGATGGGTTGCAGCAGGAAGGGCATCCGCTGCGTAAAAAACACGTGCTGGATAAGTTGGCGGTTCATTCCGCTGTGGCGACCTCGGATTAGTGAAGAGACTAAGCCGAAAATGAATGAATGAATGGTCAGACAAATAAAAATGTGTCACAAAACCCACATTTCCATGGACTGTATTGTGTATGGTCTGTATTTATGGGTCTGTTATAATTATATGGGTCTATATATATTGTTATAAGGTCTATTATTGATGCTTTACAGATCACATTTTCAAGAAGATTCACATTTATTATCAGTTTATCAACCTATGCATGCATTTTTGACATTCTAAGGCCCTACTATTTCACCAAAATACAATAGAGCAGAGTTTTCTCAACCACGCTCCTGTCAGACCACCAGCTCTGCACATTTCCCATGTCTCCTAAACCAAACACACCTGATTCATATTATCAGCTCATTAGCAGAGACTGAAAGAACTGTAGTGGGTGTAACAAACAAAGGAGTCATTCAAAATATGCAGTGTTGGTGGTCCTTTAGGTACGTGGTTGAGAAACACTGCACTTTTTGGCTTTCCCTTGTCTGTCACTCATTTATTTTTGACTTTTCTATGTTTTTAGTGATGTCATCCTCTACCCCGTTCCTGTCCGAGGAGCTGTTCCAGTGCTCAGTGTGTCTGGATGTCTTCACCCATCCCGTGTCTCTCCCGTGTGGTCACACATTTTGCCAGTCATGCGTCCTTGCCCAGTGGACAGCATCTGGCTCCTCCCATTGCCCCAAATGCTCCGCAGTTTTCCAGGAAACTCCAGATCTCTGTGAAAACTCTTTCGCTCGTGAGATGGCAGAGCAAATCCGTAAGCAGAAGGGTCAGACTCAGAAGTCGTCTCGTCCAGTCAAAGCAAAGGTTGTTTTTTGTGACATGTGTCCACTGGAGAAGGCGTCTCATGCTGTGAAATCATGCCTGGTGTGTGTGGCGTCATACTGCGAGGCGCATGTGACGTCCCACACCTCCAGGTTCACCAAACACACACTGGTGCAGCCGCAGAGCATGGACAAACGGATCTGTAGGATACATGAAAGACCGCTGGAGCTTTATTGTAGATACGACCAATCCGCAATTTGCGTGTTGTGTATGAATGCAGAACACAACACACACCACAGCGTACCCGTGGAGAGAGAATGGATGGAAAGAAAGGTGCATTTGCTACTTAATGATTGTAATGGTTGATTAATGAAGTACAAACAAAATATTGCCAGTGTTTTCAGTGACAAAATTCATTCATTCATTCATTCTCCTTCGACACAGCGGAATGAACCACCAACTATTCCAGCATATGTTTTATGCAGCGGATGCCCTTCCAGCTGAGGATAAAACCAGAGCACCTGGAGGAAACCCATGCCAACACAAGAAGAACATGCAAACTCCACACAAAAATGCCAACTGATCCAGCCGGGACTCAAACCAGCAACCTTCTTGCTGTGAGGTGACAGTGCTAACCACTGGACCACCGTGCTACCCTTAGTGACAAAATTAATATTATATATATATTTATAACTATATTATATATAGTATATAATAGTATATATTTCTTTTTTTTATTATTATGAGTGTAATACATGTTTAAAGGGATAGTTCACCCCAAAAAACTATGTTGAAATAAATAATATATTGATATTTGAAGTATGCAAACTTAAATTAAACTTTACGGTACACTTAATTTTTGGGGGGTTGAACTATCCTATCACAATATCACATCATATTTCTTTTAATTGAGATTATGTTTAATATTTGGTTAAGCACTGTCGCCTCACAACCAGAAGGTCGCTGGTTCGAGTCCTTACAAGACAGGTTGGCATATCTGTGTGGAGTTTGCATGTTCTTCCCGTGTTCACGTGGGTTTCCGCTGGGTGCTCCGGTTTCCCCCACAGCCCAAAGACATGCGTTATAAGTGAAATGGGTAAACAAATTTGGCCGTAGTGTGTGAGTGTGTCTGTGAATGTGAGAGTGTATGGGTGTTTCCCAGTTCTGTGTTGCGGCTGGAAGGGCATTCGCTGCATGAAACATATGCCAGAATAGTTGGTTGTTCATTCCGCTGTGGCAACCCAACAGTGGGTCTAAGCCAAAGGAAAAATGAATGAATGTTTCACCGGCCACTTTATTAGGTACACCTTACTAGTATCGGGTTGGACTCTCTTTTGACTTCAGAACCATCTTAATCCTTCGTAGCATAGATTCAACAAGGTACTGGAAATATACCTTAGAGATTTGGGTCCATATTGACATGATAGCATTAAGCAGTTGCTGAAGATTTGTGGCTGCACATCCATGCGAATGTCCCGTTCCACCACATCCCAAAGGTGCTCCATTGGATTGAGATATGGTGACTGTGGAGGTCATTTGAGTACAGTGAACTCATTTTAGCCTCAGTTTCCTGTTCTTAGCTGACAGTAAAGGCCCAGTGTGATCTTCTGCTGCTGTAGCGGATCTGCCTCAAGGTGTGATGTTTTGTGCATCTTCTGCATACCTCGGTTGCAATGACTGTTTGAGTGACTGTTGCATTTCTATCAGCTGAAACTAGTCTGGCAAATTCTCGTCTGACCTCTGACATCAACAAGGCATTTGCACCCACAGAACTGGATATTTTTCAGACCATTCTCTGTAACCTAGAGATGGTTGTGCGTGAAAATTCCAGTAGATCAGCAGTTTCTGAAATACTCAGACTAGCCCGTATGGTACCAACAACAATGCCACATTCAAAGTCACTTAAATCATCTTTCTTCCCCATTCTGATGCTCAGTTTGAACTGCAGCAGATCATCTTGACCATTTCTACATACCTAAATGCACTGAGTGGCTGTTGTGTGATTGGCTTATTAGAAACTTGTGTTAACAAGCAGTTGGACAGGTGTACCTAATAAAGTGGCCGGTGAGTGTATGAAAAAAAGTTATTTCATCACTACCATGTTCTCTATGTTCTTGTCGTAGACTCAGCTATCAAAGACACAGACTGATCTGAAGCGGATGATTATGGAGAGATGGAGTAAAGTGGAGGATCTCAGACACTCTATAAAACTAAGCAAAGTAAGAACCTGCAAGCTACAAATAATGTCTATGCATTTGACATTGTGTTGAATGTAGACATATCAAGACCATTGAAATGCCCCGTTGCATTTGTCTTTCAGGAGAACACAGAAAGAGAGATGGCACACAGTGTTGAGGTGTTCACCACACTGCAGCAGATCATTGAAAAGAGTCAGAAGGAGCTGCTCAGAAAGATGAAACACAAGCAGAAAAGTGCTGAGAAACATGTAGAGCGCCTCATTAAAGAGCTGGAGGTGGAGATCGCTAAACTGAACACCAGAAACTCTGAGCTGGAGAGGCTTTCTAGTTCTGAAGACCACCTCTGCCTTATACAGGTGACTCTTTTCAGCCAGAAGAGCAAGTTGATTACCTCTAGTTTCAAACACCCTATCAAATAATAAATGATATTACAAATAAATAATAACTAATAATTAGTCGATCTTACAAGAAATTATCTGTTTGAAGACATACATTTTTTAACAAAACACTTTTTTTTGGACCTTTCCAGGCTTTCCCTACCCTAAGTGAGGTGCCACACTGTAAAAGCTGGTCTCAGATCAGTGCTCACACCTGTGAGGGTCTGGAATTGCTGAGAGAAACCCTGAATGCAGCAGAAGAACTTCTGAAAACACAAATACACTCAGCCACAAAGAGAGGTTACTAATGTTTCATTTAACAACTGAACTTAATGACCAAACATTCTAAGTGTTTTATTTTTTATTTTTTTATTTTCCCACAGAACTTGAGGCCATATCTCAGTATGCAGGTAATATAATATTTTTAAAAGACAGAATCTTTCATAAACTTACTATAACACACCTACTGGACAATTTACATTTTCGTTTGTTGTGTTTTACTCTGTGTGTTTAATGTATGTTTAACTTTATTTACTTTAATATTAACTTTATTGTGTGAAAATATTCTTTACTTGATTTTTTTAAACAGTTATATTCCATATTTACTTGGATCCCTAATATTCCTCAGTTTCTATTTAATTATGAGATTTAAATACTCACTATCACATTTTAAGCACTATATTTTAGCTGAATTATTTTGTCGGGTGATCCTCATAATCACACTTTTTGATGTACCAAAAATATTTCCAAAAGATTCAAGATAAAGAAATTTTAAAAGAAAAAACACTTATTTTTAAAATAGGAATTTATTATATCACATATCATTAGAAAAAAATAGGAATCTGTTAAAGTTTTTAAATTAAACTGTAGCCTATTGTCATTTATTAGACAAATAACAAACTGGCCAGCACATTCAACTTTCATTTTTTCAGCTTAGTCAATTTATTAATGCGGGGTCGCCACAGCTGAATGAACCGGCACTTATCCAGCACGTTTTATGCAGTAGATGCCCTTCCAGCTGCAACCCATCTGTGGGAAACATCCATACACATTCACACACATACACTACGAACAATTTTATGTAATAATATGTATCATTAAGATAGTAGTGTGTACACCTTATGTACATTTTCAATATATTTGAAAAAGTTACGCCCAAGGTTTGATACCTTTATTTGTCAGTGTGTAATTGAGTTGTAGTTTTCATCGCTTTTAAAGTAATTAAATACACACAGGCAATAACTCTGGTTTTACCACATCAGTTTAAAGGTTTAGTTGACCAAAAAGTTTTAAGCTAATTCCCTGAAATCTTTGTTTATCTTTAGAACACAAATCAAGATATTTAGATCAAATCTGAGAGCTCTCTCATCCTCCATAGATAGCAACAATCCTGAGGTGTTCAAAATCCAGAAAATGAACCAAAAACATTGTCAAAGCTTCAGGTATTCAACTGTAATCATAGAAAGCTTCAAAAAACACTGTCTGCAAAAAAGAAACTGCAAAAATTACTTCGATCGTCTTTGTATGTAAACTCTAATCTGACACAGAAGACACAAGCGAACAAAGAAGCCTTGCTTTCCATCATTGTTTATACTCATACTTACAATAAAATTTCATCTTGTAAAAAACTTGACTGTACAAATCCTGGAAAAAAGAACTGGTATAAATCCTAGCACTGATTTTGTGTGTGAGTGTGTTAAAAGACATCTAATAGACATCTAAAAATAGATGCTTTGACTAAACCATGGTTAAATTTGCGATGTCATTAAAAATCTAGATTTTTGTCATCATATAGACAGATTAGATAAGTTTTACATGTGTAGTCATTCATTCATGTCCATTTAACAACAAGTCAATTTTTGGACTATTGTTGGATGTCTATTAGATGTCTTCTTAACATCTAATAGACACATGTTTTATGCTGGGTCAGCTTTGTGAGCCTTATACACACTCTAATATACACATTAGACACTAAAGACAAAGGAAAATATTACAATGCACCTTATGGCCTATTTAATTTTGAAAATGTAATTAAATTAAAAAAATTAAGTCTGAACCAAGTTAATTTGAACCAAACTAAACATTTACTTGAATTTTACAACTATCTTTTTTCTTTTTCTTGGATGCACCGTTCATTCAGACACATTTTGGAAACCTTTGTGGTGGGGGCTTTATTATACCTTAATTCAGTATTTCTCAACCACATTCATGGAGAACCACCAACATTGCATGCCTCCTTTGTCTGTCACACCCATTGCAGGTCTTTCGGTTTCTGCTTATGAGCTGATGATCTGAATCAGGTGTGTTTGGTTAAGGAGACCTGGAAAATGTGCAGAGCTGGTGGTTCTCCAGGAACGTGGTTGAGAAACACTGCCTTAATTTATCAAAACACTTACTTGGGTCTTTCTTGATATAATTCTTGCAGTGGATTTGACCCTTGACCACGACACAGCAAACTCCTGGTTGGCGGTGTCTGAGGACAGGAAAAGTGTCAGTGATGGCAACGTAGAACGCAACTTTCAGAACAACACTCAACGTTTTGACACGGCACCATGCATCCTATCCAAAGAGCCTATCTCAAGGGGAAGGAGTTACTGGGAAGTAGGAGTCTCAGGCAAAACAGCATGGGATTTGGGAGTGGCCAGGAAATCAGTCAACAGAAAGGGTTTGGTGACTCTGAGTCCTGAGGATGGTTACTGGGCGGTTTGTCTGAGAAACGGCTGCGAGTACAGGGCCTGTAACCGTGAATCAGAGCTTCTGTCACTAAAGTCTCTTCCACAGACAATTGGGATATATGTGGACTTTGAAAATGGACGGGTTTCTTTTTATGATACATGTGCATGTGGACATATCTACTCATTCACTGGGCAGCGCTTTACTGAAAGCTTACTGGCCTACTTCAACCCAGACATGAATGACACAGGAAATAACAATGCCCCGCTGGTTATACAACCTGTCAGGGTTGACAGTGGGGCAAAGATATATGATACTGTGACAATATGAAGGATGAAAATCAACAAAAATACAGCAATGTAACAGCAAATATTGCGCAACATAAAAGAAATGATATGGAGTAATGATGACTGTTAATCTGTACATATATATTTAACTGTAAATCCATGTGCATCCAATGAAAACGCAACAGAAATTATTTCACATAAATGTTTTATTCCTAGGAAAATGTATTTCCAAATCACTTATAATTCAATACCGATTTCACATAAATGTCTTCTATTTACAGATGCAAACAAACAAGCAAACAAACAAAAAAAACATCTTTGTGGGGACCTGCCATAGTGTTGCTTTTTTATACTAACATAGCGATAGTTGTTTAGGTGCCTAGCAAATGACTCCTAAACTCAACTATCAACCCTCAGAGAAATGTCTTCATTTATTGATGAGTATTGATAAATAAATGGCCACACAATGCCACAATTTTCTTCCTTAATGTGAATGTTTTGTTCTAAGATTGTAGGTTTATCAGTTCTGCATTTGACACTTGTTGATCACAGCATACTTCTGCATAGGTTGGGCTGTCTGACACAGTCCACAAATGGTTCAGATCTTACCTTGAAGCAGGGCCGGAGTGGGACTCCTTTTCAGCCCTGGAGTTTCAAGCATTAGACCGGCCCCCCTCAGTTCACGACTGACTATATTAAAATAAGGTCATTTCCAATTCAGTTTCTAATTACACTATCACGACTTTTTTTTTAAGAAATCAGCTGCTTTACAACTTCAAATGTTCAACAACCTTACAGTTTTATATGTCTTAACAATAAAAATGAAAAAAAAAAAGAAGTACTCAGGTGAGGATCGAACATGTCGAAGCGCAATGTGCTGACCACTGGACCACAATGGCGCTGTTACTCTTGTGTGGCCGGAATGATAGTTACATCATCATTACCCTGCAGGCTGCGAGACAATAAATAAGAAGAGCGGAGCTGCGGCAAAAATAGCAACTCACTCACAATGTGCCAGCACACAAATAAATAAATAAATGAAAAAAAAAGTGTGACTGCCGAGAGTGCCAGTAAATGCTTCCATCATCCAGGTATAGTTTCTGGAGGAGTTTATGAAATCTGAAAGGATTTGGTGGACACTGTTGTTCAGCCTTGCTAAAGCACAGCTCTCTCAATAAAATAGATGTTAGCCATTTAGCAACAAAAGTTAACAGGCAGACAGGAGCCCCCACTATGACGCGAATCTGCTGTTCACGCGTCTATTTACACAAACATAGCGAGATTTATTTGCGCAAGAGGCATCTTGTGTGAACAGCGTATAATCTAAAAAAAAAACAACAACAAAAACAACAATAAAAATAATATCTAAATAAATATATACATACAGTCATACACACACACACACACACACACACACACACACACACAAATATATATATATATATATATATATATATATATATATAATTTTCTTCACTGGAAACAAACTTTTACACAGTTTAGCAGAGTTTAAATAGACGTCTCTTTTTTATTCTTGGCAAAACATCGTCATTGTTAAAATGCTCTGTGGAAAATAAGCAGCATTAAATGCAGCTCAATGAAATAATCCATAAACTTTAACAAGCTAAAATATTATATCAAAATATAGTACACATATAACGACTGGAAATGTGGAAATAGTTCAGGGTCAACATACTATTTCTTTCATTGATTATAAAATCAGCATTAAAGTATATGTAATGTTTGCATCGTCCATGTTTTCAATGTTTATTTTTGGAAAGGAACCACTGGATAACAAATTTGGAAATATTATATATAAGTGTAACATACCTATAAGTAAACATGCTGAAAATATAGGACTGTGGCTTCAAGATTATCTGAACTTGATATTTCTGCGTTATATTGACAGATTTTTTTATTTTATTTAAAAAAGATTTGATTAGTATATGGCTTTGCGAAATGTTTTATTTTTTAATGTTACATGAATTGTTTTCATGTGTGAATTGCACCTTTAAATACTTTTCAAAGCCATTTCATTGACATAGATGGAGTCAGTGTTTTCATAAATGGGTTCTGACTGTGGAGGCAAAGAGTCCAGGATGCACTGGTGCAGGAACACATACTGAGACTGTAAGAAAAGATGAGAAGCATAATAAAGTTAAAAAGAGTAAAACATATCTGTAGTGTGTTTATTTTTCATAATGCCCATAATAATCATCATCACTAAAATACCAAATATCCTGAACAGTACTAAACAGATATTTGAAAACCAAGGAAGTATACTTAAAGCATCTGCAGCTCTAGTTGTTTTGTATTTTAATAAATTCTGGATCCGGCTCCAGTCAATCTTCAAAACTTAGTTGTAGAAATTACAGTAACATTGCTGAATGTGCTGAAGGACTGGATACAGGATGGATAAAAGGATGAATAAAAGTTGCCAACTAAATGTGGCAGTTTTTTTTAAATGAAAGCAGTTACTCTTAATATAAATGTTGGAAATAAGTTTTAACAAGCTCTCTCATAATTCACTTTATTTCTCTTAAAGTCAGAATTTATAATTCACATTTTTACTTTACGATTGTGATTTGAGTGCTGAAAAAAGAATTTTAAAATTCTTACAAACATTATAAGCTTTTAAAAGTATTAGTATTCTGTAGTAATATTTACTGATCTTTGTGACAAAAAAGCCCAGTAGTATCTGGATGCAGCCTTTATGATGCATGCTGAGATTGCATCACTCAGCCATGCAGTGTCAGACACAATACACTCAATGGAGTGAGTGACGTCACGGTGACGGGTAGGGTTAGGGGTGGGGTCAGATGAGCCCATTAAAAAGCATTGGATGCAGCTCAGATTGCACTGCACCAGGTCTGCATCCAGACCCCTCTCAAAAAGCCAGTCAGCAAAACAAGCCACCCTGACATTTTTTCACCTGTTTTTTCCCTTGATTGAGATTTTTCTATTGATGTATGGTTAATTAGGACAGGACATATTAGACTGAAATTCAACTATTTGAATATCTGGAATCTGATGGTTTCAAAAAGTCTAAATATTGTGAAAATCACCTTAAAAGGTGTTCAGATGAAGTTGTCAGCAATGCATTCATTCATTCATTTTCCTTCAGCTTAGTCTATATTTCAGAGGTCGCCACAAAGGAATGAACCGCCAACTATTCCGGCATACGTTTTACAGGGTGGATGCCTTTCCAGCCAACAATCTTTTACTGGAAAACACCCATACATGCTCATTCACACACACACACTCATACACTACGGCCAATTTAGTTTATTCAATTCACCTATAAAGCATGTCTTTGGACTGCGGGCGAAACTCGGGGAGAACATGCAAACTCAACAGCAAATGCCTCCCGGGACTCGAACCAGCGACCTTTTTGCTGTGAGCTGACAGTGCAAACCACTGAGCCATAGTGTCACCCAGCAATGCATATTACTAATCTAAAATTCCGTTTTTATATGTTTACGAAGGGAAATTTACAAAACAAATCATTTTTGACTCATACAGTGTATTTTCTGGCTATTCCCACAATTTTACCCGTGCCATTTAAGACTGTAACCAGGGTCACAAATGGCTGTTATTATCTTACCTCAGTTTCTACCATAAGTGGCCGGCTGAGTCTCATTTCCTTAACAAACGCTGCAACACCCACTGCCTTCTCTCTGTTCAGCTGCTGCAGCAGGACGTCCAGTGCGATCAGTGTTCCTGTCTGGCCCACTCCAGCACTACATTATAGAGAATATAACCAAAGGAATAAACATTTCACTTCACCTCTATGGGTTAATTTTAATGCTCTTTCTGTTGATTTCTCAGTGTGAGTGTCATTAGTAACGATGTTTTTGCTTCATGATCACCTGCAGTGTACAACTGTTGGTCCAGCAGAGAAGGGGCTCTCTATGTGCTGTCGGACAAGTTCTCTGAACTGGATTAAATCTTCAGTGCCACAAGGGACACCATGATCTGGCCATGCAGTGAAGTGGAAGTGATGCACTATTCGCGTATCAGAGGTCATTTTCTATTAAGCAAAACAAAAAAAAGATTGATTCCATTAAGGTTACCTGGCAGTTATGTTAAATATTTTATGAGTTATGTATAAAAAATAATTAAATAAATAAATATTACTAAATAAATTGATCTAAACTCCTAAAATTTACACATTTGTAGGACTGTCTTTTCTGTGAGCAAAAACCCAAATCGTAGTCAAGGTCAGAGATAATGAAAATGTTTAATATTTAAAATATTTTCCCAGGACACTAGATAATAAGTGTATAGCAGTCAAAGGTTGGCCTATTTTTTACAGTGTTTAAGCCCTACAGCTCTTCAGATCCAATAGCGAAGACTTATTTTATTTTCTTTTTCTTTTAATTAAAGATGTGTTCTAATGCTATTTCATGAATACAGAGTTAGTTACACTGTTGGACTCTCATGTTGAAGCATTGGTCAAGTTTCAAAAAATTGCTTGAAAGTAACACTGACTATTCATATTTCAAAAATCTTACTTCCGGGTGCCAGCCAAATTATTTTTTTTCCTTAAAGGGTCATGACACCCCCCACTTTCGGTTCAGCTATACCCTAGAATTTGTTCAAAAGATGCATCATAATGGGCGTGGAGCTCTGCGAGAATGGGTAGGAGTGGGCGTGGTCAGCTGGGGAGAAGAAGGGGAGCGAACAACTGTTGTCAGTCGGCTCACAAAATGAGACACAAACCGTGAGGAGACGCATGATTTTATAGTTTACAAAGTTAAAATGCAAAGAAATAAACAGCAATTTAATGCCCTGCTACATTTGTTATTCGTAATTTCATAGATAACCACAATTTATATCATTATAAAGATTATCGTGTTCATATAAACACTATTAATGAGGACTTTTCCGTCAGTCTCCAAGTCTGAGTCATAGGTCTGAATGCAGACTCAGTGCAGCAGGTCACTTGCCCTGTCTATTTTAACCATTAGCCCTGTTGGTAATTTGGAGGATTTAGGCGAACACAGCAGCACGACAATGTGTCTAAATGTGAATAAACTCCTGATAAAAGACAACGTCCGCCATTCTCCAATTCTTGTACTGCTCTACTGACAAAAATGGTTGCAGCACACAAACAACTTTGCTGTATCGACCATGACAGAATCACGGGGTAAAAACATGCAACAAACCCTGTGGATCATGGAAACAAACAAATAAGACCCTTCATGAACAGCTAAATACTGTGTGCCATGGGTCCGTGTCTCACAGCTTGGCACTGGCAGGTCTGTCTTGCCTTCGGAAAGCACGTGCAGTCATGAATGATTAAGAAGCCAGCTCTTCTCATAGGATAAGAAAACTCAGCTATGAATAATAATAAGAAACCGATGCGTCACCACTCCACTAGCAGATTCGTGCTACGTAACTGATTTTGATCCCGCCCCAAAAATTATATTAAACCTGGAAGCTAAAATTAGCTGACAAAAGCCCCAAATTATCCAGTTTTCTCCACAATTAAAGCTAACAGGTGCTAACATAGTCTTAGCTGATGCTCAACACACACAAATCTGTTAACATCTCAAAAATAGTACTCGAGGTTTTCTAGAAGCTTTAAGATTCAAAAGTTTTAAAAGTTATATTTTCGTGCGTGGATATTCCAGTTGGACAAAACGCGAAGTGTAATAAACAGTGTTTTCAAAAGTATTCAAAACCTATTATCATGGTAATATGATGCAGATTAAAGATGAAAGCTGTCGAAGTGAAACAAAAGCGTTGAAGCAATAAGAAATGAGACTGATGTAGAAACCAGAAGAGCTTTTATAATGACACAGAAAAGCTTACTGTTGTTCCACTTGTCGACACATAGAGAAAGCAGCGCTGTTTGATATAATTAAATACATTTTAGAGTTATCTGCTTGTTAAGTGTGACGTCACGCGAAGCGGCTTCCGGGTCCAAGCGTGCACAACATATTAAACATAAAGAAAATTACAATTGGATGGCTTACATTTTTCACATGAAATTCCCGCAAAGTCCAACTTTCAGATTTATTCTCTGATTTCACAGCGACAAGCAGATTTCCGTAGAGACACGGTGTGTTGTCCAGCGGCCAGTACTGTTCACACTTAACCTGGAGAAGTTAATTAAAAAAAAGAAAACGAAAAAGCTGAAAATAACTGTCAGGTACAAATGACAAATATGATTATGATCAATTATAATAAATATCATAAACTGTGTTATTACACAAAATTAGATTTAAAAAACTAAACACACATCTTTAGTTCTGATAATTGAAAATTACACAAAGAAAAAAAAATAGCATAATAGTGCTTCTAGCATGTGGAAATGTCCAGTTTTCTGTTTCTAGATTTAACAAAAAAAAAAAAAAAAAAGTGCTTTTTTTAAGGTTAAAAAACAGGTTTATCTTAAATTTTATCTTAAACTATCAAACATACCACGTAATTGACACAGACCAATACTGAAACAAACATTATAAAAACATAGTTAGTATTTATAAAAATATAACTAGTAGTCCCCTGGAGTTGTGTCATTAGTGTACCCTGTATAAAATATTTTATTTTGAAATAAAAATCATACTGATGACAGAGATTTTTTATTTTTTTATTTCCTAAATATAAATGAAAAAGGCCCAGCGTAAGTCTCTCATTTAGGTTATCTGAAATTTGAAACTTTTAGTTAAACTCACTGGTATGACAAACTGTGAAAGTACAAATGAATTAAACAGCTTAATTTACTGAATATACCATAATTGACAACAGTTTGGTACCTTGCAGCAGACATCGTAAAACCATTGCACAAATGATCTAACTTAATTAAAACACATTTTTAACAAACCTGATTAAATCAAATAAAGCTTAAGCTTCTTATTTGTTGCATTATCATTAATATATATATATATATATATATATATATATATATATATATATAAACGTTTAAAGATTTGAGTGGGAAATACTAATACTTATATATAATTGAAGTCAGAATTATTAGCCCCCCTGTTTATTTTTTTCTCCCCAATTTCTGTTTAATGGAGGGAAGATTGTTTCAGCACATTTCTAAGCATAATAGTTTTAAACACTTATTTCTAATATCAGATTCATTTTATCTTTGTCATTATGACAGTAAAAAAAATTTTACTAAATATTTTTCAAGACACTTCTATACAGCTTAAAGTGACATTTAAAGGCTTAACTAGGTTAATTAGGTTAACTAGGCAGGTCAGGGTAATTAGGCAAGTTATTGTATAATGATGGTTTGTTCTGTAGACAATGGAAAAAAAATAGCTTAAAAGGGCTAATAATTTTGTCCCAAAAATGTTTTTAAAAAAATTAATAACTGCTTTCATTCTAGCCGAAATAAAACAAATATGACTTTCTCCAGAAGAAAAAATATTATCAGACATACTGTGAAAAATTCCTTTCCTTAAAACTAATTTGGGAAACATTTAAAAGAGAAAAAAAAAATTTAAATGGGGGCTAATAATTCTGACTTCAACTGTACATATCTTTGGACTAGATTTTTTAATAAATGAAAAACTACACAATGTATCACAGCAATATACAAGCAGTTTAATACTCATAACATTGCCTTACCATTCCATCCTCAGTACAGTTGGTTACCATGACAATAGCTGATGACTTTTGCTCCCAGACCATTCTCCAGAAGTCATTGACAGTGGACGGCAGTGGACCTTGTGCAGCTATATACTGTCTGCTTACATTTCCATATCCCTGACACACACATAAACATCATAAACAAAGATTAAAGTTACCAAAGATGGATAGAGATTGGTCAGTTGATTCAGATAGGAAAATAATTGACAGCATAAAATAACAGGGAAATAAATAAATAAATATATATCAAATGATAGAATCAAAAGATATTATGTAGTGTATATTTTACAACTTACAGGGATGTAGTTGGCATTGAAGTAATCAGAATCACCCGCTTTATTTACGGTTAGATGCACTCTGGAGCTGTCATCTGAAAAGAGAGAGAGAAGGATAAATGATCTATTAAGACAGAATTGTAATACTGTTAATGAATATTGTGTTTGTAAAAAACAGATTCGCTCATCCTACAATAAAATCTAAAGATTTCAGTCGCCCTCTGGTGGAAAAATGTGTGTGTGTATATATATATATATATATATATATATATATATATATATATATATATATATATATATATATATACAGTGAAATTTGGTACAGTGAAATTTGTGAAATTCATAAGTGTTCATTAGTTTTTTAGTTGTTGAAGCTATAAAAATGGGATGAGGCATAAAGATTAGGGAGAGTTTGGACTTTGATATCACAGCTTCAACTCATTATCCATACAGCATGACTTCAAATTGCATTATTGCATGAAATGACAATGGCCAAATCTGGATGTGTTGGCTTCACTTTACTCTAGTGGATAGAAATGAAAACTCATTTATTTTTTGTCTGTATATGAAGTGAATACTCACATGGTAGTACATAGGAGATTCGATTTTTATCTTTGTTTTCAGGGAGACGAGCCGTAACACTTGACTGTTTTACACCCACTGAACCCAACTCCTGTTAAAAAAATATTCAGTATAATCATAATCTGTAAACAGTTGAAATGTAAAAAGTACAATTCTATTTCATGTTGAGTCGACTTTACCTTATATTCAACGCTGAAATTTCTCTTGTCATCACAACTCATGTTATGAAAATGTTCAGGAAATTTATCTGAGGCAATTGTTCTGAAAATTTTCAGAATTTCACAGTTATTTTTGTTATTAAGTATTAGCTTCTTTCCTGATTCCTCCCTCCAGTTACTCCTCCCTGGCCACCCACCCTGCCCTCATTTCTGTATATGTTTTTTTTGTAGGTGCTAGAATGCGCCTTCCTGGTAATATCACAATTAGATATTTCACATGTCTTGTGTTCCATGTGCTTGTGTTTTGTAATGTGATTCTTTTGTTGTTTTTCCTGCTGTTTGTTAGTGTCTATTAGATTCACCTGCGTTTTACCCCAGAATATATGTTTGGAATGCAATGATTAAGAGTAAATAAAGCTGCGGTCACACTAAAGTTTGAGCTTGCGAACTGTGTAGTACAGTGCTGCGAAAAGGGGTGGGATTAAACATGAATAGACATTTAAAAAGCAAGCGATTGGTCCATATTTTAAATTTCTGTCCAGAGAGGTCATGTTTTGATCCTCCATTATTTTCAGTGATGCGATTTCGCAGGTCAGAGTTCGCCAAGCTTGAACTGTACAACACAGTGAACTGCGATAATTTCCGGTCTGATGCATTTGTGTGCGTATGAATGAATGTCTATGGGGATAAAAGTCTACTGTGGCCTCAGCTTAATGATAAAATTTAAAATTTGGAATGAATAATGTATTTTACAACATTTACAGTGGAATAGAGTCATACATACTTGTTGTGTGTTATAGACACTTTTGACTCCACAGGTGGGTGTGATCTTCTAAAGATGAGACATTATGAGAAAAATACTTTAAATAAAACAAATAATATAGTTTTTAAAATATATTTAATTCAATAAACATAATCCCATACATTAAAACTAGTAAATAAATAGCTTACTTATTATGAAACTTGGCTGAACCATAGCGGATCCATACAAAGACTCCAGCACAAATAATGATGACCAACAAGAAAAACACCAGTACACCAGCTATAACACCTGCAGAACACACACACAAATCTATTAATACATTCATTTTCTTTTCGACTTAGTCTCTTTATTATTCAGGGGTTGCCACAGCGGAATGAACCACCAACTTATCCAGCATATGTTTTACACAGTGGATGCCCTTGCAGCCATAACCAAACACTGGGAAACACCTATACACACTATTTAACACACACTCATACACTACAGCCATTTTAGCGCATCTATACCACGTCTTTGGACTGTGGGGGAAACCGGAGCACCCGCAGGAAACACACGCCAAGACGGGGAGAACAAGCAAACTCCACACAGAAATGCCAACTGACCCAGCTGGGGCTTGAACCAGCGACTTTCTTGCTGTGAGGCAATGGTGCTACCCATTGCGCCACTGTGACGCCCACAAAGTTATTCATAAATTGTTATTGTTTTACATTGTGATATAGAACTGTGTGGCAGATTAAAGTGTTATTTCATGCTAAAATAAGATTTGCTATTTATTTTTTACCCTCATGTCTTTCCAATCATATGAGACCTTTGTTCAGTTTCAAAACACAAAACACAAATTAAGGTATTTTTGATCAGGGGTCACCAAACTTGTTCCTGGAGGTCCGGTATCCAGCAGATTTTAGCTTCTAATCAAAGATTCAATTCAATTCAATTCAGCTTTATTTGTATAGCGCTTTTACAATGTAGATTGTGTCAAAGCAGCTTCACATAAATGGTCATAGTAACTGGAACAGTGTGGTTCAGGTTTTAGTGTTTAAGTTCAGTTCAGTTCAGTTTAGCTCAGTTCAGTGTGATTTAATCATTACTGAGAGTTCAAACACTGAAGAGCAAATTCATCGATGCGTAGCTCTACCAATCCTGAACCATGCGAGGCAGTGGCGACAGCGGAGAGGAAAAAAAAACTTCACCTGATGGGAGTGAAGAAAAAAAACCTTGAGGGAACCAGACTCAGTTGGGCACGACCATTTTAATTTCTCCGCTGGCCAAAAGTCTTGTGCAGAGCTTCATTCGCCGTGAAAGACACCTGAACAAAATAATCAAGCTCTTACTAGGTATACTTGAAACACCCAGACAGGTGTGTTGAGGCAAGTTGGAGCTAAACCCTGCAGGGCACTGAACCTCCAGGAACAAGATTGATGACCCCTGTTTTAAATGAAATCTGAGAGCTCCCTCATCCTCCATAGACAGCAACGAAAATTCAGAAAAGGAGGTCTCAGGGGATTGGAATGACATGAGGGGGAGTAATTAAATACAAATTTTAGATGTTTGTGTGAACTAACCCTTTAACATATTGTGGCTTAAATAACAAATGTTTGAAGGAATATTGCAGGACAATTACAACATTAAGATATGTATTGAACTGGTTTATTTAGTCAGGAGTTTTAAAATTAAGGAATCTTACCTGCCGGATCAGTTTGGCAGTTGATCGATATAGTTTCACTCCTCCTGGCTCCAGAAAATGATGTTGCTGTGACTTTGTACCACTGAGCAGCTTGCAGGCCTGTTACCAGCTGCTGAGTTGGTTCGTCTGAACCATGCGAATGGTTGAAGCTTTTTTTGTTAACATCCACCTCCACCACATCCACAACTCCATCTGGATACTCCCACATGACAGCCAGACCATATCCTCCAGAATGATATTTGCAGCAAAGATGAGAGACACTGTTTGGAACTACAGAAGTTTGAAAGAAAATCAGAATTCAGGTGTCAAGTGCCATGGTCTAAAACAGAGAATTTAAGCTCACCTAATGTCAGGCGTTGTGAGCACTGTGTGAGCATCTCAGACTCCAAGTTATAAAACAGTGAAACAGTGTAGCTTTCTCCAGGATACAGGTCTCGCAGATTCACCCTGTCTCCCTCAATAGAAGCATTTTTACCACTCCCGGTGCTGCTTTGAGCCGTGACATATGTGCATCCGTACACATCAGCAACTATTGATGTGTTGGTGGCTTCCCAGCTAAAGGATGCACAGTCCAGAGCTGCAGAAAAAAAACAAGAATAAATAAACACTAATTTAAATGTTAGAGTTTAGTGGTAAATAAAGATCTCACGATTTAAGTTTTAATCCTGATCTGTGTGTAGTCTTGGTGTTAGCTTTGATTGTATGGTTTTACCCTGGATTTCTTATTTTCACTAATGCTTACAGAATATCTGCTAAATATGCTATAAATACATTAAAAATAAAATGTGCTTGTCTGTTTCCCAAATGGCGGTCAAATATGTACAAATGCAAAAAAGCTAAATATTCTAAATTACATTTTTAAAGCTGGGTTTATCCATATTTGTCCCAAATTAGGGTTCAGCTAACAGAGTTATTAACTTAAACAGTAAAAAATTGGTAATACATTAAAGTAAGCATTAACTGGCAATATGTTTTTAAAGAGGGTGGCAAGGTGGCTCAGTAGTCAGCACTGTTGCCTCACAGCAAGAAGGTCACTGGTTCGAGTCCAAGCTGGTCTAGTTGGCATGTCTGTGTGCATTTTGCATGTTCTCCCTGTGTTTGTGTGGGTTTTCTATTGGTGCTTCGGTTTTCCCCACAGTCCAAAGACATGCAGTATAGGTCAATTGGGTAAACAAAATTGGCTGTAGTGTATGAGTGCAGGAGTGTATGGATGTTTCTCAGTGCTGGTTGCGCTGGAAGGGCATCTGCTGTGTAAAACGTATGGCGGAAAAGTTGGCGGTTCATTCCGCTTTAGCGACCCCTAATAAATAAAGCACTAAGCCGAAGTAAAATAATGAATGAATGTTTTTAAAGCAAGTTTATTAATATAACTGTTCAATATTGTCAGCTAAAGTCAATTAAATTATATTAACAGAAACAGCTTCTGGATTTGAATAATGTAGCAAATGCTGAAACATTATGGTTACCCATAATTCAGAAGCACTCTTGTGGTCTTCCCGGTCAAAAGTTATAGAAGACCTATATCATTATTTTTTTTCCAAAAAATCAATCAATCAATCAATCAATCAATCAATCAATCAATCAATCAATCAATCAATCAATCAATCAATCAATCAATCAATCAATCAATCAATCAATCAATCAATCAATCTATCTATCTATCTATCTATCTATCTATCTATCTATCTATCTATCTATCTATCTATCTATCTATCTATCTATCTATCTATCTATCTATCTATCTATCTATCTATCTATCTATCTATCTATCTATCTATCTATCTATCTATCTATCCATCCATCCATCCATCCATCCATCCATCCATCCATCCATCCATCCATCCATCTATCCATCCATCCATCATCATTCTAGTTGGAATACTCATTCATATTCACTTTGGGGAGGTAGATTAGTGCCATTTGCTTGTAAAGAAAAGAAAAACATCTTTAATAACAGCAGACATACTGTAGCATGCTGTCAAAACTTAATTTCAACTATTTAGCTTTTCAAATCAGTGTAGTGTCATAAAACTTACTTGTGATGCTCTTGAATCTGAATCCAGGATCTCTGACATTATCCACCACAGTAAAGAGAGTAAAACTGTATACAGTGCCTGGTTTGAGTGATGAGTATTTATGTGTAATCACATCCCCCACAACAGCAGATCCAGTGAAGTCTATCTCTGCCCCATCACTTCTGAGCAAAGTGTAGTTGTAGACGTTGCTTTTGTTGAATTTATTCCATTCGACAGTCAACTCTGTGAGTGATCGAGTGACTCTGACTTCAGTTATGCTTGATGAAGCTGTTAAGAAAGATTCAACAAGAATTAGTCATTTAAAATTGTAAATACTGCAGAATACATTCAACTCTCTGTGTTTTGCTCAACCCTGCCATATGGCCAATTATTTTTATATTGCAAAAAAGAGAAAGAAGAGAATAGGACAATTTAGAACCACTCACATGTGGAAAGATAGAAGTTGTATCCAGTGCTTCTCTGAGAATAAAACTCTGTGTGCAAAGTGAAGCTGTAATTTGTTGCAGGATTCAAGCCTGATACATGATGCGTTATCACATTCTCATCTGTAGGATCAACAGTTTCCTCAACATCACTGTATTTAAGAATATAGTGGTATTTGTTGTTTTGTTCATTAGGCACAGCATTCCACTGTAAGATTACGTCAGTGCCAATGGCCTCCACCACAGACACACTTTCAACATTAGATGGCACTGAAACAGACACGCAAAACACAGAGCCTGTCATCTACATTTATATTTACAGTAAGGAAATGCTTTTGTGGGACTTACAAATAATTAGGGCATTGAGAGGCATAAAAGGGGTAATGCTCTGTTGCAAAATTAGCTCAGTTTATGAATATTAATGATCAATAATACATTATTATTAATTATGACTATTCAGAATTAACTTAAGTTAATTTAACAAAATAAATATAACAATGACTTCACCCGCTCGTCTGTGCAAACTCTAATTATTAATTTATTTATAAAGGAAATTATAACTACTTCTTGTGAAGTAGATGAGTAATTTAGAAGTTTTAGTAAAATTGATTTGTTTTTTTAAAAAAAGATTTGTTTCATTTGGATGAATCTAGAAACCTTCATGATTATGTTGATATACATTTGTGTACAAAAAAATCATTTTTATTATCATGAAAATTGCCTTTATTTGGGAGGGTTTGCATCCATTTTGGGATGCAAGGAAGTTGAAAGCCTGATGTGAGAGGAAGTAAATCAATTTCTTATTTATCTCTTGAAATCTTTTATTTGGTTGTTCGCTTGTATGTCATTGATAAACTAAACATGGATAACATGTAGAAAATTACTTATGAAAGGAAAATGGCAACTATGAACTTCGGTGGGCTTAAAGTGCATTTCTCAGGACACGTTTTACATTTGCACAACAGTTAATGAATTTCTCAAAACAATTAGTCATTTGTGCACATCCTAGTAGCAGTTTCTCATTCCTTACAACATATTGCAGATGCTTTTAGACATGCATCAGTTGCTTTCATTCAACTCTCTGCTATTTATAACATTATCTTTTGCTTTTGTCATGTCAGTCAAAATGAACTAAACTTGTAAATGCTGAATAGTCATTCCATATAAAACTAATAGTCCTCATTTCATTACTTGAGTCATTACATACAAAAATGTTGAACTAGTTGTCAAAATCTGTCGAGCAAATTTTATAAAATCAAAATTGTATCTTTATTTGCCTGAAAATGTCTTAAAAATTGAACAATTTGATGAATGATTTACAGACCTGTTTGTAGGTTCAGTTGCAATATATTCTGCAATATTGTTTACAGTTGTGCACAGCTCTACCCAAAGGGAGTTTATGTTTGTTGTAAATAAGGGTGTATTTATTCTTTTGCACAATGCTGTGAATAAATTAGGATTGTAAAGAGCAAATGCAGAGTAAAAATGTGAAACATACATATTCAGAGTCTTGTACTCAGATTCCTCACTAAATGCAGTGATGTCTAACTTTACTGCAGTTTTCAAATGGCTGTGCAAATAGTATACAGTGCTGTCTTGGGCATTTTCAGGAAGTGTCACCAAAATCTGACTGTTTTGGATTGAAAAAAATGTCCAGAGTAAACTCATAATGAAAACACGACTAAGCCATTTGACTATATTGTTCATAAACAATGGTGTCAGGACTTTTCATCTTGATGATACTGACACTTTGATTGACATCAATACTTGCTTTTGAGGAATGAACTATCCATTTTGAGCATGTGACACGCTTTTGCAGGTTATCAGCTAGGTTTTGCTGTTTGTACTAATTGTTATGAGAAATGCATTAACTGTTGTGCAAAAATGCACTGGTGTTGTGAGAAACGCACCGAAGCGACTGAGAAAAACTGTAAGCATGGCCAAATCTGTTTTTGTAACAGTGTAATGAATGTTGTAATATTGTATTATGTTTATTAAAACATACATGATATTACAGTTTTTTCTCAGTCACTTTGGTACTTTTCTTATGTTAGAATTGTAATTTTAAATAAAATACAGCAATTCATCACTTTTTGATTTAGTGGCTAATTCGTATGAATTCGTACAATCTAATTCGTACAATTTAGTATGATTTGCTCATCACCCAATGATGGTTGGGTTTAGGGGTGGGGTTGGGTACCACGCCTCCTTTTTAAAATCGTACTCTTTCGTACGACTGAACTCTTACTTGACTGAACTAATATATTCACGTTTCCTCGTGAGATCAGGCTGGAATATTGTAAACATATTCATTCATTCATTTTCGTTTAGCCCTAGTCCCTTTATTACTGTAATCAGGGGTTGCCACAGCGGAATGAACCGCCAACCAACACAACCCACTACTGGAAAACACCCTTACACTCTCATATTCACACACACACACACACCCATACACTACGGCCAATTTAGTTCATCCAATTCACTTATAGCGTATGTCTTTGGAATATGGGGAAAACCGAACCACCGGGAAAAAAAAAACCCTTGCAAACACAGAGAGAATGTACAAACTCCACACAGAAATGCCAGATCTAATTTCCTAAACACAAATAATCACATTAGCCTGACATTACTTATGTACTGACTCACCAGTTACATCAGCGAATCTGTGTCCATGGCTTTTAACTCCTTCAAACACAGTATAGAGTGTATATGAGTATTCAGTCCCAGGAGACAAAGATGTGATGACACACACCACTGTAGTATCAGTAAATGATATATGAGTTTCAACATCACTTTTTTCCAGCTCATAAGTGTATTCGTCTTTTTCTTTTGTCCATTGTAATGTTAGAGCAGTCTCATTTCGACCAATGACCGAAAATCCTATAATATCAAGAGGAACTGAAAAAGAAAGAGACAGAAATGTTACATTTCCCAAATTTATTTTACCATTCACAAGCCTATAAATTCAGCCATTCAGCTTTATTAACAAAATATTAAAACATTTGTATTAGCATCAGAAGTCTATAATATTTTTAAATCTATGTAAAGGAGAAAATATGACATGCATGTATATTTGAGATCATGTTCATGCTTATTTGCAGAATAGAACAGCAGATTTACAAACCAGATAGACAAATACCTTATTTGGCTGTATGTTTTAATAACATATTTGTTTGTATTCTGTACTCTGACTTTTGAACAAAATCCAAAACCCCCATGTGGCTTAGAAAAACTAAATTTTAAAATAGGAACAGAAGTCTTTGTGCTACAATGAATATAGCAACACTTTACAATAACTGTCCGTTAAAAAGTAACTATGCAAAAAGTAATGCATGATTAGTGAATAGTATAACAGTAATGCTATATCTATTAGTACTATAGTAAGAAAAAATACACACACACACACATATATATATTTATATATATATATATATATATATATATATATATATACAGCTATAGTATAGCTATACTATAAAGTATACACAAAAATAATAGTCTAACACTGAAAATCACTGAAGAGCATTTAGGTAACAGTAAGTTTTAACAAATAATTATTTAG